ACCTAAAACAGATTTAACAAAACACTTAGGCTCTTCCGGAAGACTCATTGAAATTAATAATACTGAAGCATGTGCTTAAGTACTTTGTGGAATTGAGGACTGAATCTTTAAAATTATACACAATACCACATGCAAGTTTGATATTGCAAACACAAACAAGTAGTTCCATAGACTTCAATGGGACTACTCACATGAGAGATTAGCACATAAGTGTATGCAGGGTCAGGTTAAAAATCTCTTGTTTCAATTATGCAGGTTCAATAATAAAAGGAACAGCACTTACCCTGAGATTCCTGAGTAATGCATGCAACACTGCAAACAGAATATACTGAAATATCAAGTATTTCTTCCTATTCTTCTAGACCAAAAGCATTATTTTCTTATGTCAGTCTGTCACAAGGCTAGCTGAAGCTTTTTTGAATTCTAATCCTCTCCTCCATGGTATTAGTAACCTCACACAGCTTGGGGTCACCTGAAATTGTTATTAGCTTATTCTCTACCCTGTTATCCAAGTCATTAATGAAAACACTGAAAAGTGCCTGACTCAGGCCTGCTGGGCTTCCCAAGATAAGTCCTCCAGGTTTGACAGTGAACCATTGGTGGCTATTCTTTGATTACTGATTTTCAATTAGCTGTGCCACCCACCTTATAATAATTCCTTGTAGAACACATTTCCCTAGGTTTTGGGGTGGGTTTTTTTGTGGGACTGCCAGAAGCCTTCCAGAACTGCAAACGCAAACATGATAGGAATATGAATAGGTATGAATGCACTACAAAAATCAAGTCATTCCACAGTACTGCATCCTCCTGGGTGACCTGTTGTACTTTCTATTCTCTTTTTCTTTCTTTTTGCCTACAGAGTCCTGTGTCTGGAGAAACTGCGGACTGTAATTCAGAAGTTGCCTCAGTGTCCCCTTGTGAAGAGATTGCTTCTGGTAGATGGAGCCATAAGGAATGTAATAATGCAAAAATTATATTTCACTAAAGGTAAAGCTGTGCTGTGGTTACTTGTCACTAGCTCTCAAATGGCTGCCAGGGCATTGATCAATAGCACTTACATCTAGGAAATCATTCAGACTGTGAACTACATTCCACACTAATATATTTCCAGTGTCTCTAGAGTTTTTCACATTTCATTCCTTCCACCCATATACACATTTTCATTCTAAAAGCTCAGTAAGCAAGCAACTGTATAGCTCTACCAGTAATCTGTATTCATCCTGATGAACAGATGCCTGTGTAGTAGTATATGCTCTATTTTTCCCCTAGGATTTAATTTATGCAGATATAAATAATTGTATAAAATATGTCCTGTCTCCTACAAATGTGGACCTGAGCAATATCTCCAAATCTGTACAATTTTGTACTTGGTGAAAGTTTTGTGCTTTGATCCTAGTCTACAGTGTGTTACTGGGTTCCTGCCAGCGTAACTATCTCAAAACCACAGATATGAACACACATGATGGGTTTAGATCAGGATTCAGCTCTGACCTTTGTGGCTTAGCCCCATCTTTATTGTTTTACAAGTATTCACCTTGTCAGTGGCCTGTATCCGATAACTGTTTCTCATTGCCCATACTATGTGAACGTTCCAGATTTGGAGTATTTCCTTTATGACAGTAAATAGCCATGTTAGGACTGTGTTTTCAGATGACGTTACATTAGTCAGTTTTAAATGCTACACTAATTGATCACCTTTCACTATGTGTGAAGTGCAGCTCTACTTTGTAAAGTGACTGTAAAATGTGTATAATTATACTGTCTCAATGACTTCCAAATGACATGTGCTCAGTTTACATATAAAAGTGTTTGCAAAATCAAGCACTGCATCCAGATTCATGGTTCCTTCTTGTGCACTATCACCAAGTACAGAGGTTTTACAGGTCACATGATGGCCTCCGTGACAATAGTTGCTATTTCTTCAAATGATCACATCTGTGATATCCCTGTTCCCATTCCCATTAGTGGTTTTGTAGTGGGCCTATAACTGAAATTCAGTACACTGTGCTCTTGCTAATTTACAAGAAACAAGCAGCAGGTCTGACAGCCATTGCGGGCCACAGGACCAGCTGGGAGGGATATCCAGCTACACACCTGCAGAAGGGGCAGGGTCTAGGGCAGTTAGGCCTTAGCGCCGCCCAGACTGCAGTGTTGCTCCCCCCGCCCCCAGCCCTCAAGGCTGAACAGAGCAGTGTAGCAGTGCTTCTTTGCTTCTTTGGCAGATAAAAGGGCTCTGGGGCTTGCCGAAGTAGCAGCGGTGTTGGCCGGGAATTCCGGGCCCCTTTGAAATGTTGGCCCTCTGTGAAATTGCTCCACTTGTGCCCTCCTCCCATTGGCAGGCCTGGAAACAAGTATAAGCCAAGTCAGTCTCTTGGCTTAGTTGGCTCTGTGAGCTGGGGGGTGGAAAGCAGTGAAAAGGTATTTTAGTCACTTAAGAGAGATGATGTTACTCTGAGCGCACAGCAGGGAGCAGGCCTGGTGAGGAAGGAAAAGGCTTTCTTTACATAATCGTTTTACATAGCAGATAAGTCATGAAATTTAGTTCCGAATCAGTCACTTTATATTTCTAAATTCAGTTATGTTGCCTTTAATCAGGATCACTCCACTGAAGTCATTGGAATGAAACCAGGGTAAAACTGATGTAAGTAATAGCAGGATTAGACCCATAAACTAATTTAAAACAATTGCTGATTGGCTTTTTCAAGCTGTGAATACAAATTCTTTAGGGAAGGAACTGGAGAGGGAGAGGTTTGGCTCTGTATTGTGCACCCAGCACAATAGGGTCCTTATCCTTTCAGGTTCCTTTGTGCTGTGATAATAGACATAAATTGGAGAAGGAATAGTCCTGATTTACACGTGCACCCCAAACCTCCAAGAAATTCAGGGTTTTTTAGATGCATTCATTTAACATATTTTAGACTAGATCCTGATGTAAATTGGTATAGCTGTACTGAATATTAATAGTTATGTTGTTTATACCATCTGAGTATTTGGATAATTAACTTGTCTAAGGTTTGTTGCTTCTTTGGTAATGTTGGTGGCTCAATGCCCATCAGTAATACATCTCCCCCTGTATGCAATACTCATAAAGAAGTTGTCATACTGTCCAATCCTCCTCTTGCACTAGTATAAACCGCCAGCAACTCTAAGTCAGTGGAACTGTACTAGTGCAACTCAGAGTGGAATGGGATATGAGTGCAACTGCTTTTTGTGGCCTAACACACTGTGTAATATGCACATTCACATCCCAGTTTTTGGCTGCATTGGTGTGACTTGGTAATGCATGAGATCTGGAACCCAGAACAGCTGGTCTTTAGGAGGATCACATGATGTTGGAGGACCCTCAGGTAGTACAGATCCAGTACTGCAGTTACCATAGAGGCCTGGGAGCAGACGTTACATGATGTCTCCTAGAGCTCCAGGACAGCACGGCTGTTGTGCCACAGAGGTGCTGTGCATATGTACCAACCACACACACAGGCAGCCGTACTGGCTGGATGTAAGAATGGGAGTAGAGTCTTGGACTTATTTCCTTCCAACCTGTTTGGTGCAAAAATAGTCCTCGCTTTTAGAGAGTTGTATACGCACCTGCCAAGGGAATGGAGAAGGCTCTTTGTACGTTTCCTATCAATACACATAACTGACCCTTTTATAGAAGTATTAAACTTACATTGCACCACCTTTCAGGTATATTCCAGAAGTAGGTTTGTCTCTCTTTTTTTAATAGCTCATCAAAGAACTACACGTTCTGAGTCACAGGGATACATATTTATTTTTTCTGAAAAAAAAATGTATTAATGTCTTGCAGAAATTTTACATAACTTGGAAAAACTGGCCCCCTTTATTAAAGGAGATGAATTCATGCATCTAGACCTTGAAACACTCTTTTCGGAGTTAAAACAGGTTAGTCATTACTTATTCTTAGTCTTTATATAATGTGCATAAAATCCATGGTTTAAAACTGTTTCCTTTTTGTTTCTGGTATAAATCATGCCTGCTAAAATATTCTGATGTTGGTCTTAGTTTAGTTTTTATTTTATATGTTATAGTTGTGGTATGGTATGGCTAGGGCTGAATTAAATCACCCTCTCCTCATTTGCTTCATTTTCACAGTGATGGTATATTAATTGCATTTTAGATCTTGATCAGTAATACATCCCGTGAATGCAAGGACCTGCTTACAATGTTTGAGAAGGCTGCTCAGCTTCAACAGGATTTAAAAGTCAGAGACATTTTGGCAAGATTTATGTGCCATTACAACTACCCAAATGAGTCTTTGACATTGAGCAACCATATCCAGTCAATAAAAGAGTCTGTAAGTATTTATGATTTTTTTTTTTACTATAAAACCTGAAGCTCATCCTCAATTTACTTCATTTCGTACTGTAATAATGGCCTGGAGTAGTAAATTTATAGTACTACACATACAAACCCTGCGTACTTGTTGTGTGCCCATGACAAACTGTTTGAGCCGCTTTGCCAGGATATCCACAAGGAGAAGTGATTGAGGACCTGATTCTCATCTCTCAGTCTCAATCTCATCTCTCAACCGAGATGAATTGGGAATAGTACTGCAAAAATCTGTAAAGTTACATTAGTGAATGAGACAGGGTCCAAGCCTCAAAAAAGCATCATCCCCATTAATAGCTCAATAGTCACAAAAAATTGCTTTCTTTATTTTCAAAGGTCCTACGTTTGCAGAAAGTATTTCGTGGAGAACTGAGTCTGCCAGATTCAATCATGGAAAAATATTTGGGATGGCAAGAAATAGAACAGCAGCTTGCTGAAAATAGTGCTGCTTACTGTATAATTAATCAGTTGAGGAGCACAAAGACACCATCTCAAGAGGATGTCTATTTCCATTCTTGTCAAGAGCAGCTACTTCTCACATTGTAAGGACTTACGTATGTTTTTATCTATAAAGGGCCTGGTTGTATTCTCCTTCACAACTCCATTGACATCAGTATAGTTACACCAAAGTGGAATCCGCATGTATAAGATCAGAATCCAGCCCAATATGAAGTGATTTTATATTTCCTCTCAAAAGTTAAATCTGGGCATAACATTGTTAAAATAAAGTTACATGTATGCTATATTGTCAGGTACTTTAGAGTATGGTCCTATAGATACTTAAGAAAGTAACATCTTATTCAGTGATGCAATTACACTTCTACATGAAGATCCTCACGTGCATGAGTATTTGCAGCATCTAGCTGTTCTGTAGAGGAGGATTGTTTATTTTTGAAGTCTCCATTAAGTCCAAACCTAATTCCATTGAAGTCACTCATTGCCCCAAGCCCCATTGGTTTAAATGGCAGCCGGAACAAGCCCATTGCTTGTACTAGCCTTTGGATATTAGATAATTTATTACGGTCTCACTTTTGTCCTTTTTCATTTGTCAGAAAATTGATTTTTCTCCCCTACATGTTTCTAAATTAATTAGAAATTGACTGGGGTGTTTTGTTTGCTTCTCTCATTTGAGCGCCAGCCTTGCTGATAATTACAGCATGACCCTGGCAATAGGGCTTTGTGACCAGTGGGCTTATGTGCAGCTTCTGTGGGCTCTACAGGGTCCTGCTTCTATGCAGATACATATGAATGTTTGCTATTGTTTTGCCTGATCTCTCTCTTTAATGACACAGCAGTGGATTATTAATACAGATAGGTATTTAAAATCAGGAAGATGCACTTCCTTCCCAGATGGCAATGGTTTTTGTATGCCCCATTTTCAGCTAAACTAGCTGTTAGTGTTTCTTGAATCCATTGCACTTGTTCAACAGCTTGTGTGACACTAAGGGTCATCCACCTACTTCTGCTATTTTGGACATCCGTGGGAGTTTAGTCTTGATGGTAGTGGAAGCAGTTCCTGGCCATGAGCCCTGCTTGCCTTATTCCTGTGAAAGTTGCTTTGAAGTCAGTAGGACAGCTAATACTAGTAAAACTGAACACTAACCATACACTAGAACTATGTGTACTGAATCCAGTAATTTTACTTCAGAAATTCAATATTCTGATCGTAATATGTCTGCCTTTTGGGTCCTTGATCATTTCAGGGTTATTCATACACTTGAAGAAGTGTGGTTTGCTTTTGAGGAAGACCCATACTGGAAGGGCTTAACAACATTTGTTAGAAGAACGTGTGAAATAGCTCAATATGTGAACAAGAAAGATCTCTCAAGTGAGTAAACAAATAGTTATTGACCCAACAGATTATTTGCATTCTATTTCCTTTTCAAAAAGGAAACAGACAATTTCATTATGGTACATTTTTATTTTCAAGAAAGCTCTCACGTTATGATTAAAGCAGTGGTTAGACTGCTATGTGAAGCAAACCTGAGAGCCTATAGAGTTTGAGTCTGTGTGAAAGTCAGGTGTGATTTAAAGCTGTGTGGGAATCTTTAGACTAAAGTATTTTTGTGGTAATATGCTGATTCATCAAAACCAAAACTTTTTGTGGCAATGTCCTTGTTTCAGTGAAACATTCAGTAAGGTTTTTCAATATCTCAATGTAATTTCTAGTCAGAGATGTGCTGACCTTAGATTAGCCAGAAGCCCAGGGTACTCACTTGGGATAGGTGAGACCTAGGTTCCAAGTTCCTGTTCTGACTCAGGAAGGACTTGAATCTGGGTCTCCTCACACATCAAAGGTGAGTATTCAGACCACCTGGCTCTTGGCAGTTCTGGAGTTAGAGTGGCCCTCTTGCTTTCCATATTTTTAAAAAATCTCTTGGGTTTTGTCTTGGCATGGAATAGGAAAGGTACAAGAAAGCATTTTGAAATTTCAGAATTTTTTTGTCAGACAGGAAATCTATTTCTGAGGTTGTTCCACACCATGGATGCATTAGTTAATTACCTCTAATATCAGGCACCTATTTCGTTCAGTTTTTCACCCTATTTTTCCTTCACCTAAATTCACCACCCCATGTTTGTACACATTTTGAAAGACACTGTTCATTCAGCCTACTGACACATTTTGAAAATGGTTCTTAATCAGTGTGTCACAGCTGAACTGAAAAGCTTTAATAAAAATGGCTAATTAGAAATAAGCATTGACTATCCTGTTGCTAACCAGGCTGTTGAGAGAATTTGACCCCAAAACAAGTATTAGTGGATTAAAAAATCCTCCTTTTGATATGGACAGGCATGAGCTGAAAGTCTCCCACAAAACACAATTGATTATATAGAATTCAGAATGGTGATCGCCAAGATGTACTACAGAATAACCAGGACATGCTTGTGCATTTCATAAAGATGGGTTTCTTTTTTTAAAGTTCGGGGAGATGAAAGGATACTGCTGTGTTGAATTTCTCTCCCTTGGCTTGTGGGAGATATTCAGGATATATTTCTATAATAAAAATCAATCTTTATTTTACATTAGTGTTGCAGTTTATATTTAATACAAAATATATCCTAATTTCTTTCTGTGAGGGAGTTGGTTGTCATTGGTGGATTTTATGCATGTCGCTCACTTATTCCTTCATCGTCCTTTAAACCATTAAATGCTGCTTGGTATCAAAGTGCCCTTACTAAAAGGGCATATCCTTTCTTCATTATCAAATATAATTTTGGGGATTTCTGTGGGAGTATTGCAGAATGTAGCTGTAATTCTCTTCTCTTCTGAGCCAACCACTGAACTCTGGGAGAATATTTTCTGGGACTTCAGTGGAGCTAGGTAGGGCCCCTATTGAACAGAGAAGTTCATTTTGCTTCTCTCTATCACACAGTAGCCTGTGTCTAGTTATCTACTGACAAGACAATGCATGTTACTTTTCATATTGAATTCCAAAATGTATTTTCTATGCAGATGATACTGCAACATCTCTTTGTTCTGGACCAAAGCTCAATCTGAAGACCGTCGTTGATAGTTACATAGCATTTCTGCAAAATGTATACAATTCCCCATTCGTTTCATGGCCCAGGTAAGTTAAACTAATTCAGTTTAATTACCTTCCTCAACTGTCCCCACCTCCCACCCATGTCAGGTATTTTGTAATGTTAAATTACATTATTTTTCTCACCTTAAAGAGATGCTTAGCATTTCTATGTTACCAATAGGAAATACTATTGCTGTAAGATCAGAGAGTTGTATCTTTGAAGGGCCTTATTCAAAAGCTTTAATAGAACAGCGAGTGCAAGAGAGTGAGTGAGAGACTAAGGTGCCACTTGTTGTTTTTAAAGTTACAGGCTAATATGGCTACCCCTCAAACACTCTTTGTGAAAATAGGTATTTTTTCAAGTTTTTGTTGAAAAAACTAAACGTTTATTGGCCTTCAGTTGTTTAAGAAAAAATGATTTTTGGTTTTTGGCGAAAATATTCACGTTTATCAAAATATATGGAAATAAAAACATTTTTGATCAGTTGTATTTGTTAAGGTCCTTGATATCAAGCTAAACAGTCAGTGGAACTTCAAGGCTTTACTGGTTTCATCAGCAAAATATGCAAGTTGTGTGAACTGGAGATGGAGATGTCTGACTCTGCCAATTTTGTCATCTTAATGCAGCCACCTAGCTTCAACTGTATTTGGAGGACTTATGTATTGACTTTCTAATCATTGTTTTTGAGATGCTTTTTAAAATAATAGGTGATTGTCAGTTACATTTCCGGGTTTTTTAAATTGTTTCACTTGTTGAGCAAAATGTGCTTTGTCTATATGAAATACATATTGATTTTTAAGATGTATTAGTATACGTATATGCTAGTAAATGTGTGATAAACATTTATAATTAACTGGTTTGCAGTATAACTTTCCTATAACTGACTAATTTGAAAAAAAATCTCAATATTACAGGATCGTGACATCTGTCAAAGAGCTGTTGAAGAAGGAAAAGAATGTAGAGGTTCTTGAGGAGCAGCATTTGGACTTCATTTTACACATTGCAGAATTACTACAAGAAATGTTGATGCCTGATTCTTTAGCCTCTTCAAACCTCCATGACTTTCAGTCTCTAACAGAAATAATCCTCAGTAATACTATAATGTGGCTTAACACTTCTGCAAATATGGAAGCAAAGAAATCTGCTACAGTTGTTCATATGTTTTCTGAACTCAGTAATGAGCTGCTAGCGAATGATCAACTTGCAAAGCTCTGGCAGAATGAAAAGCTGGAGGTATTTTGGCAAGTAGTAAAAAAGGTCTTGAACCAACTCAAACATAGAATGTTTGGAAGCCCAGTGGAAGCAGTAGAGATGCTGGAGATGTTCTTATCTAAAACTATGAGTTCCTTTCAGGAAAATAAAAAAATCCTTAGTAAAAGTTCACAGTTCTTCCAGAAAACACTTACAGATTGGCCTAAACTGTCTTTTCTTGCTCTAGATTATGTAAACAGCTTTAGTGAAAAATTCATAAGGAATCTTTATGAGGTTGGAGTGTTGACTCAAGAACACTTCATTGCCACTCTCAGCACTATTCACGCTATGAGAAATGTCTCTTCTGTTCTAGTTTCAAATACAACTTCCGTATCCCAGGTACAAGACATAGGAAAAATTATGTTTGATTTCTACGAAAGCATTCCCAGGATAGGGGATAGTAACGTAGTCTCACTTGTTCAAATGATTTTTTCTGTCCACCAAAACATTGATCTGTTAAGTACTCGGAGAAATAGTTCTCTGCTAACACTCTTCCAGAACATCACACAAGACATTTCACCAATGCCTGTGCAACTTGATTTCCAAGGGATTTTTGACTTTCTGTCTGAGGCTATTAATCTTCTCCAGGGTCTCCCCCAGAAACCTCTCTGTAAAAAGTTAGCAGCAGTTTACAAGTACTTAGAGCTCCAGGCTCAGTCCTTGGCACAGAAAGGGAAACAAGAGATAAAAGTGGTATATAGTACTCTGGGCAGACTTAAAACTGTATTAACAGACACAGAGCTTCATGGAGCTGCCTTTCAATATTTGAAACAACTTTTTGACATCTCATCAGAAAGCATGTTAAATAGTGAATGTCCTGATTACTACATGCCTAGCATTCCTTCTGTGAGGCAAACAGGAGATCTTCACAACTCATTGATACTGCCATTGCTCAGAGTTCTGTCAAATACATCAGACTTCAAGAGTGAGGTAAATGTGCCTTTTGCCATGCATTGCACAGTTACCTGGCTTCAGATGTGGATAGAAATTCTGGAAAAAATATCTGAAATGTTAAGGCTGGATTTAAATTTTTTCAGTTATCTCCGGAATGGACTGACACAGCTTTCAGAAGATCTTGAAAATGTAACCCATGCTGAATTGTGCAATGCAACATTTACAGTCAGTGCTAAAACTACATCGGCAATACATCTACTGAAAATAATAACAGAAGCTTATAACTTGAATGAAAGGAAAGACTTTGAGATTCTAAGTCAGTTCATAAGTCAATTTAGCAATGTAATTGATATCATCAGCTCAATTAAAAGAGAGACTTTAGAGGAAGCATTTCAAACAATGGAAAATGCAGTTGTCAAATTGCAGAAATCTCTGTTGGAGGTTAATGTTAGCAGGGAGTTTTTGGATTCCTGGTTTGATGTTTTTTCCCCAATGAGTTCTAAAATGGAATATAGAGATACACATGTAGATTTTATTAGGCATTCACTTTCAGATATTCTAACACTTTCTGGGAAAGAATTTGGTACTGTTTTCACTAACCTGAGAGAGACTGCTGGATTCCTTAAAAATATATCCCAGGATCAATGCCTGTTGTCTTGTGTGATTATTTCCCAGAATGTTACCAACTTAGTATTGGAAGCTATTTTGAAAGATAAAAATGTTTCACAGATAAGTGTTCTGTCTCATCTTAATCCTTTATTAACCTCACATAATATAGTGAATGCAGTAGAGGGTTGTAAAAGATGGATGCATATTATCAGTAGCCTCAGAGAGAAAAACATCACCTGTTCTCACTCTGAGAAAGCAAAACATGTTTTATTTCTGTTGACATCTCTGGGAAGCCTTAATGAGACTAACACTAACTTAAAAAATATTCTGGATATTGTTAATATGATTTTTAACTTCACACAATCTCCATGCTTGTTAAATGGTCCTGATGCACATTGTGCAGATGTTTATTTCAACATTCTAGCAAAAATGTTAAATTTTCTTCCTACATTTTCTGAAAAAAATAACACACAGATCCATGACTTTATTTTTACTCTATTGAATATGTTAAGGGGCCAAGCTCAATCAACTGTGTTCTCACAATATGTATCGGATTCAGAACAAATGAATTTTACTAAAATAATCACAGAAGTCATCAGGAATTCTAGGCAAATCCTTAATTTGTCCCATAGTCTCCAGCCTTCTTCAGTAGCACTTTTGAAAGGAATTCAACTTTTTCTGGAGAATATAACTTTTGAAATGCTACAAAACAGCTCATCTCCTTTGGACATTGTAAACCTCCTAAATGCATTTGAAACGCTTCTACAAGACAAAAATATGAGCTTCCTTTCACCTTCCTTTCACCATCTAATTAGTTACTTTATGTCAAACTTGTCTCATAGTATGCTAAGCTTGCAAAACGTAACTCTGCATACATGGATGAAAACAGCAGATCTCAATGTGGAATTAGTAAGAAAGGCACTAAACATCTTAAAGTCTTACAACTTTACCAATTTGGCAACTTTAGTTGAAAAAATTGAGAATGAAGATCTAGACTTGCTAATAGAACAACTCAAACAAGTCAGTAAAAGCTTGCATCATTTCTTTAAAAATATCAAAGCTTTGTACACTGAAAATTCTGTTCTGGGCAAGTTGACAGGCTGGTTAGATTCCTTTAAGAACAATATAACTTCTTGGAACTTGACCAACTTATGGCAAATCACTCAACTGTTTCATGGGACTGAGATTGATGATGTATTACAGGTGCTTTACCTTCTTCCTGATGGTGTCCGTCTTATACAGCGATTGGTTCACAAAAACATCAGTGATGCCCTAATTGAAGTGTACACTTTCACTTCAATTCAGGAAGCAAACACATCAATAGTTACCGAGGAACATTTATCCAATAAAATAGATAGTCTTCTAGAGTTGCTGGAGGTAGTAACTGATATGCCTGTGGAATCTGCAAGGGCTTTGAGTTGCCTTCCTGCCATTATCTGCAGGAACCTCACAACAACAATACTTCAAAATGACACCGCTTTAAAGTCTTGTAACTTCAATGCACACACAAATTTTTCATCTGTGTACAACACAATTGCTGATGTACTTGAGCAGTTCAGGCTGACAGTTCCAGGGGAACATACCCTGTGTTCTAATGAAGATGATCTGAGGGAGGTCAATTATAGAGTGACTTGTTACTTCCAGCGTCTCAAAGAGTGGAATTCCATTCTTCTGAAGCTTTCTGAGATCCACAACATAAATAGTTTGGCTCTGAAAGAGCTACTAGGGTTTTGGAATAAGTTATCAGTACAAGTTATGGCTTTTGGAAATCATAGCACTATCTCAGTAAACTGCTCCTCCACACCAAAGAGACAGACTGCTTTACGGCTCATAGAAGCACTAAACAACATGACATCAACAGAGATGGCAAAGGCCAAAGCTATTTTTGAACAGCTAACAGATCTGTACGGTACCTTAAACATGGATAGAAGCACAGGAATGTCTGTTATAAGGACTGTTCTTACTCATTTAAAAAGCATGGCCAATGAAATTTCTGGATTGCTGGATAATGAAGATGCCCTATCTTCTTTTCTTTCTGCAGCCCAGCCTTTGCTGACACTGTCTCCAGTTGGAAACCAAACTCAAATGGTATTCACGGCACTATCAGCTTTGAACGGAAACAATAGTTTGATTGGTAACTTTGAGGCATTTTGGCTTGATACAGAGAGAGACCTACAAGATTTATTAGTCAATTTCAGTGTTCAGCATTTACTTTCTGTAATAGACAAAGAAGTTCAATTATTAAGTGCAGCAGCCAGCAAAAATTCTTCATTGGCACTTGTTAGTTTATTAAAACAATTTAATTCATCATCTCCAGAAATCCTGCTAAGAAACTTTGAGAGCTTCCAAGAAATTGTGAGAGGCTGGCTACCTGAGTACACTAATAAAAATTTTTCTAGAATAATGAATGCTCTATTTGTCCTTATAGACAATGAAAAGTCATCTGATGACATAGTATTGTTTATCAAAGATATCATTGAATTTTTAGAACTCTTCAAGAATGGCTCTATAGAAGGTCACATTGATACTTCCTTTCTTACTGATCTTCTTCGTGGGGAAAAGCTGAATAATGTTCAGATTGCTTATGTGATTTTACAGAAGAGTCTTCTTAACCTGATCTCTGACCTCAGCGCTAAGCAAGAGACACTGCACTTAAATGATACAGACCTTCAAATAATGGACTTAATTGATTTGTTTTTTGATGATGCACAGTATGAAAATTATGGAAAGGCAATCACCCCATTCCAAAACAGGACAGTGGAGATGATAAAAGAGTTTTTAGAGATAATTTTTCCAGCTTCTAGAGGACATGATAAAAACAAAATATTTGTCTTATTAAAAAACTTACACAAGGATATAATTGCAGAAATGAGGTGAGTGAGTATATGTATACTGACCTTGAGACAAGTAGACAATTAGATTACCTGTTTTATTGCAAGTCTACTTAGAGCTAAACCTGTGAGTGAGCCCACATTTGGGACAAAAACTGTATTCAATGCATCAGGGCTATTATTTATCTAAATTTTTGTAACAAAATGTTGTAATTTGAGATACAGAATTTGGAAAGAATTATAGTGCAGAACATTTCTAGGCATTCTTTTGTATCTTTTAAAAATGCTACTTCCCTTACAAAGGGGCCTGATTATTAAATGTTATGAGGTAGCTGCATTACATAATATGCAATACTTAAAATTAAACTTCGTTGTCTTCAAGGTGCCCAGACCTGAAACATATCCCTTAAATTCTATACTTGAAATGATTTTAGCTTAAAATTCAAATTGAGTATAATGTACAGGTTAGACCTCCCTGGCCTGGCAACCTCGGGACTTGACCTATTCCGAATGAGGGAATTTGCCAGATATGTAGAGGTTCCCTGCCACCAGTCTCTCAGGACTCTACCCCTTCCTGCAGGTGGGTCTGCCCTGACCCCACTGCTATTGGGCTCCAGCCTTCTGCCTCTGGCTGGCTGGGGTTCCCTGGGACAGAACTTCTTAGCTGCTGTGACCCCGCTTCTCCCCTGGCCACCTGAGGCTCCCCAGGGACAGGGCGCCCAGCCAACTTTCACTCCCAGTTTGTGCAATTATTTTTGTACATGTTAAAATAATCCCAAAATTGCTATTAATATGCTATTAAAACTGGAAAATCAAATACACAGGAAATAAAAATGGAGGTGTCTTTGTTAGCACTTACATCCATTTCACATCCTCTATATTTCATTATATACAATGCTATACCTAAAACTGAGTAAAATAATAAAGTATGAATTGATCAAACCAAAAAAATCCCAGAAAATTCCATGTGTACAGAGCAGCCAATTCATGTAGAAAAGTTAATTTTTTTAAGTTCTTGTGTTTGATTTTTCAACTCAACTAAAAAATACAATGTGCTTGTGGATTTTTTGAAATTTAAACATTTCTGAAAAATTACCAGTTTTTCTCAAGTTTGAGTTCCTTTTTTCTTGAGTGAAAATCCATACAAATGGAAAGTTTCTGGCATCAGTAAACATTGAATTTGAAAATGTGGAGCCTAACGCAGGCTGTTAAAAGGATTCTGCTCTAACATCATAATAAGGGTAAAATATAGTGACTACAATAACTTTCAGTTTTATCTTGATGTAACTCCGTTGACTTCAGTTGTTAGGGTAATCCGGCCTTTGATTGAAAAGAAGCTTCACTAGTGACAAAGTGAAATAAATCCATTACGAATGAGGTCCACAATATTTAAATAAATATCATGCAGTGGCTAACCAATTTTGGGTAATACTTTATTAATAATAGTGTTTCACTCTTTGCTTTCCATAGCCTATAGCCTCCTGCCTCCATTTTCTTTTCTTTCTTATCCCAACAGCCTCTTACATTCCCTATGCTAATGTATATCATACTGGGCATAGATAGGAGTGAAAGTAATTTAAAATTCTTCCTGGTACAGAGGCCTCGCTCCAGGCCCCTGGAAGTGGCAGGGCCTTAGGCATAAGGATTGGGGTTGTGGCCAGCCTGCCCCAGCCAGCCATTCAACACTGTACAGCATGTGCTGCTAGGGGCTCAAGAGACAATTTAAAGGGCCCAGAATTCCAATTGGGAGTCCTGCAGGCCCGTTTAAATCACCGGCCCCAGGCCAGCCCCTTTTGCCCCCATTCCTGCCCTTATTAGTGGTTCTACTAATAGAGTCCAGCATTGCTGCCATGGAAGCACTTCAACATTGCATGTGTATGGGCCTGTACTAGTAACCACTTCTTACCTGTACGCTGTACTGGCCCACTCTCCCCTCAGGGCACAGGATTTCCCATTGTTGAGATGCCTGTTATAGCATCATCCAAAAGGTCATATTGGCCAATCAGAATGTTCTTTAGATAACCAAGACACTAATCATAGCTTGCTGGTAATTTTGCTCTCTTTTATGGTAATACACCATATTTTGCTAAAATCATCTTATGTAATGTTAATTGGCATCATTCAAATAAACAATATATTTGTTGCAGGTTGTTCCCCAAAGATGGTATTGGAATGCTGCTAAACTTTGATCAGTCTGTTAATCTAGAGGAAGAAGTTGATGGGTTGAAAGAAGATATGTATCAGCTAATCAAAGATGCAGCCCTCTCTGAAGATGGGACACCTCATTTTGATACTGCAAAAGGACTGAAATTTATGAGGGATTTGATTAACATTCTGGTTAAAGATTTTTCTGGAAAAAATGACAGCAGAAGTCATTATGAACTGTTTACTTTTGTGCATCATATGTTATTTAATGCAAGTCATTCTGGGGACCTTGTCCAGATGACCAGAGATTTTCCTACAATGTTTCAACTCATGAGGCAGACTTCTACAGAAATGGGAAGGCTCCTGGATATTTTTAACAACCATTTCAAGGGTTTCCTAGTTGCCTATCCCACTCTCCCGGAAATGGTACTTTCTAATTTAACAGAACTGTTGGCTACAATGGATAATGTGTTTCCTTTGGAAAATAGGCAGCTAAAAGAAATCACAGAAACATTACTTAATATCAGCTTGTGGAGCAGTGGATCAAACTACACTAGCAGCCCTTTTCCAGATATTGCTCTTGATTTGCCGGCATTGTGGAAAAGTGATAAATTTGTAAAGCTAGCAAAAATAATAGAAGCCTTTGTTAACTTTTTGACATTGTCCAAGGAAGTTTCAGAAAAAGTAGCTAATATTTTGGAATCATCAGTCAACTCAGATGCTATGGAAAACTTAGACTACATTGAGATGGACTATTCAGATCTTCAAAGAGCTGTTTATGATACACTAGCAAAGTTAACAGCAAATGAGACTGCAGAGGTTCTGCATTCAAGCAAACATCAAGTGGCAGATTTGGTGAAAGTATTTCTTGATTTGACCTACTTGTCTATTCGGGCTAAGCATTCCAATTCATATGGTTCTGAAGCTGCAAACATATCAACCAGATTGGTCACAAATCTGAGCAAACTCAATGGTTTAAAAGATATTGCAGGAGAAATCACTAAGTGTTTAGGAAATATGCATAATTATTCTACAGAACTGGAAAGATTTGCTGCAATTGTTGCCAATGCAAGCATAAACTCATCTGATAATGCTCTTAGTCTAAGAGAAGATTTTCTTGATTTCTTTCTCCCCATTAATGATATTATTAGTAAAATACATTCAACTTCTAGACTAAACTTCACTCATGACCTAATAAATGAAAAAAAATGGGAGGGAATTCAGGAAAAAATTGCTTATTTGTGCAAAAGAAACATTACAGGTATAAAAGCTTATATTAGAGGTGTAGCTCTTCTCTTTCCCAGAGTTTTCTGTAAAGATCACTTGAATGAAAATGACTCTTATCTGCTGCTGCCTTTTGTACGCAACCAAGACAACTTTCTTAAAATTTTAGAAGTCACTATGGAATCATTCAACATAACAAAGAATGTATCCAGAGTAATCTTCAACCTGTGGCCTCTTTTTGCCAGCCTTATCAACCAAAATACAACCCGTCAGCAGAAGGAACAGTTATTGAGTTGGGAAACAGTTATTGAGCATGCATTAAATAGAACTAATCCTTGGATAGAGTTGCTGCATTTAAGTACCAATCAGCAAGTTAATTCCACAAGAGCCTTACTCCAAGCAGTTATGAGGCTCTTTTCTGAGCGCACTACTGGTATAGCTGATGTGGCCTCTCTGGAAAACCGTTTGTTAAGGATGATGCACGACTTAAACTTGATTTTCAAACCTTTGTCAACATATGAGAAGTATGTGAGGCAGCTGGTTAACTTGACTGAATATTTGCGACAAGATGCACTGAAAGAACAAAGGTAAATATTCAAAGTCTGGGTTATTTTTAAAATCAGTGTCCAAGTCTGTTTTTTCCCTTTGAGAGGTGTTGAACACTGCTGAAACTCAAGTCAAAGCGAAGTGGTTAGTCTTCCTGAAAATCAAACCAATTATATTGAAATTGGAATTGTTTTAGAAATAAGAAGGAAAAGTGGTAGTGTGTGTGTATGTGGTGGGGGAGAGGAGGGAGGGAAGGGGAAACTGCTGGGGCCAACACCAGAAAAGTATTTAGCTTTTACAAACTTACCATCCAAGTAGTATCTTAAGACAGAGTACTGCCAACTCTTGGCTTGATTCAAATCTACTTCATATAGACATAAATCAGGAGTGAATCCACTGACATTTTTCTGGTTACCCTGTTAGGTAACTGCAATGAGAATCTGGCCCCTGATGTGTGTAATAGTGTATGCAGTCCTTATTAAAGTCATTCTCTGATTCGGTTGCCCTAAAATTGATAGTATCTTATTATTTTTTCTTTAGAGTCTTTGCGATGTGCCAGGTTTTCCAGAAGCATTTAAGCCCTGCTTATATCCTACTGCTACAAAAGATGCAGATCATGGCTTTGAATGTATTTACAGCCCTTTCAGGTTGGTTGCTCTAGTAACAACTATTAGCAAGATGGATTTATTATTCCTGGTGTTGCTGTGATGCAGAAACTGTGCTCAGGGCATTCATGTTTCATAGTGCTCACTTCAGTTGGATAGTCTCAAAGCTCAGAATGAAGTTGAGAGGCACTTGAAAACACGTTGGACCCAGATGGCTTGGTATAGCCAAATGCCACCCCAATGGATGCTTTAAATTAGGTTCCTAATTCCACATTAAGGCACCCTGTATTGGGATGTGGGTGGGTTTTCAGCATTGGTCAATGTCGGTTTAAGGCTGCTTAATACAGTTTCCAACTGCCTATTGGAATAAACTCCCAGTAATTACAGATCAGAGCAAACCAACATTGAGTGGTTTTGAAAATTCCACCCATAAATAAGTCTATAAGTTCTGGTTTACAGATGCACTGAGTGCCCAGAAGGTCTCGCTGACCTTTCAAAATCAAGTCATTTATTTAGGGCTCCTGTAGGAGTTTAGGAGTTGAACATTTAGACCCATGTTCATGTGTATTGATCTTTGTAGTATTTGGTTACCTTAGGTCTTCAGAGTCAAGTGAAACCACAAAGAGGTCTATGCAAGACACACATATGCTCATTTTCTGTTATGTTGCCTAGTTCAACTAGTCACCAAAATTTGACCTGCTGGATTTTAGCAAATCTGAATTTAAAATGACTGCCCTAGAAAACTGAATGGACAGAACTGGCATTCCTATGCACATTGAGTGTAAGGTCTGCTGACTGAATGACAGGAATGAATTATCCAACGTATTTTCTGCTTGCTGCTGCTTTGTGGGGGTTATGGCTATGCTGTGGATACAGTAAAATTAACGTCTCACCACAGGGAAATACAGTGCAGAGAGTCTCAGAGTGCTGCTCAGAGTGAAAAACATCATTACTTATTTGTATTCTCATAATTTCGGAGAGTTCCAATAATGGATCAGGACCAATGGCACTCTATTTTTTTCCATTCATGTGCTGAATAAATTGTATATGCATGGAGGCATGTGTGGATGTGCACCACTGGTAGAAACAAGGTGCTCTGTTAATTGGGTGACATTTGAATCTCTCCTTGGTGACCGCCCAAACACTCAGCTTACAGGGAACACTGATCAGGACCCCCCTGTGGTAGTTGCTGTACAAACAGAGACTAAAATGATGGTCTCTGCAACAAAGAAATTATCGTCTAAATGTAAGATAAGAGACCCCATGTGGCTATAAACAGATGGAGAGAATTCAAGTAAACAGAGAGACTGTATTGGTCAGCATAATGAGCAGTGATCTCACTATACCAGTGCCCTAATCTGTGTTAAGTTTTTGTTAGCATTGTAGCAAAGGTTTGAGGGTGGATTTGAAGGAGGATAATAAACTACAGTTTGGACCTCCCTTGTCCAGAACCATTGGGACCTGACTGGTACCAAATGAGAGAATTTGACAGACTAGGGGAGATGTTCCCTTCCACCTGCCCCAAGCCAGCTGGCCTCCTACCTCTGGCCCCCTCTACTGCCTCCCCAGCTGGGCTGTCCTTTGTGCTTCTGCTGCCCCCCTCCGCAGCTCTGGGTTGCCACGGGCGGTTGGGTTTCTCCAGGCTCAAGCACGGGCCTCACACTGCCATGGATAGCCAGGTTTCCCCGGTTGCGCATTGCCACGTACTGCTGGGCTTCTCCAACCCCACAGCCCCGAGCTGCTGTGGGTGGCCAGGTTTCCCCGGCTCCATGCTGCTGCATCCTGCCAGGCTTCTCCTGCACACAGATCCAGCTGCTGCAGATGGATGGGGTTCTCCAGCCCCTGACTCCTCACTGCTGTGGGCAGCCAAGGTTCCCTAGCTCCACACTGCCATGGGCTTGTTGGGGTTCTATGGCCTTGGCATAGCCCCATTAACCCCATCCCTGGGGGTACCCATTACCCCCATAGCTCCATTACCCCCATCCTCCAGTCCTATTGCCCCCATCCCTGGCTGGGCTGCTGGCCCTCCTGCCAGTAGGCTCCCAGGGTCTTTGGTCCAGGAGCAACTACGGTCCTGCTGGAACACAGACGTTACTGGACCAGAGTGCCTGATTTTAGAAGTGCAACCTGTAGCACTTTACAGCTGTTTACAGGGATCTCTTAAGTTAAAGCAGCATGGAAGATAAAATATTATAACTGGGCAGTGGAGGTTGGCATAATAGACAAATCATAGATCAAAACCTTGATGGCAAAATAGAAATTATAGGGTAGGGATTGATTGTGAGTTGTCTTGAAAGTGAAGGCAAGTATCTTACATTAGATGTCACAGAGATGGGGGAGCTACTGGAGGGATTAGGTACCCTTAAAGCCCCCCAAGCAGCTCTGCTTCTTGCTGTCATGAAACCATCACACAGTTCTTCTGTTTTGGTTCTGCACCAGGCCTGATTGTCCTCTGGTATCATATATATAGTAGCCCAATGTCTGTGACTCTGTAACACTGAAATGCTGGCTGTTGCCTCTGGGTGGCGCTGTTGCCTCACTCACGTCCTTCGCCTCCCAACGTGGCGCTCAGCTGACTTCTGCGCTGCTCAGCTGGGCTGCCGTGGGGGAGCAAGCGGCGCAAGCAGCTGTTTGGGCCCTGCGGTCCCCAAACAGCCACTTGTGCCACTTGCTCCCGTGTGGTGGCCTGACTGAGCAGCGATGGTGATTGTGACCCACTTCACCAGAGGGATGGGTGTCATGTCTCCAGAGGGTGGGGGCGAGCCAGATACATAGCTCCAAAAAGTTGGCCTTCTTCATGCAGAAGTTTTGGAGCCACTGCTGGTCGTTCCACCACTCCATGACCAGCCGGTCCCACCAGTCAGAACTGCTGTTGAGCCTCCAGAAACACCTCTCCACAGTGGGCTGGGCTGCGTACGTCACCACCTCTCCTTCCTTCTCCTCCTGCCGTGGCGCTCGGCTGACTTTTGCGTCGCTCAGCCAGGCTGGCACGGCGGAGCCCACACCGCTGCCTGGGATGACTTTTGCGCCGCTCAGCCGGGCAGCCACGGAGGAGCCCAAACGGCTCCTTGCGCCCCGTGCTCCCCCGCAGCGGCCCGGCTGAGCAGCGCAGAAGTCAGCTGAGCGCCACGACAGGGGGTGAAGAAGGGCGAGGCAGTGATGTACACGGCCAGGGGGCAGGGCCTGGCTGTATATATCACCGCCGTCATGTCCTTTGCCTCCCACCGTGGTGCTCGGCTGACTTCTGCACTGCTCAGCCAGGCTGCTGCGTGGGAGCAAGTGGCCGTTTGGGTTCCATGCTCTCCATGCACGAGGAGGAGCAGAAGAGAAAAAGGGGGGTGAAGAAGGGCGAGGCAGTGATGTACACGGCCAGGGGGCAGGGCCTGGCTGTATATATCACCGCCGTCATGTCCTTTGCCTCCCACCGTGGTGCTCGGCTGACTTCTGCACTGCTCAGCCAGGCTGCTGCGTGGGAGCAAGTGGCCGTTTGGGTTCCATGCTCTCCATGCACGAGGAGGAGCAGAAGAGAAAAAGAGAGTGAGAAGCAGGAGGGGGAGAAGAGAAAGAGAGAGATGGAGAGAGAGGCAGGAGGCGGAGGAGAGCTGAGAGAGATAGGGGGAGGCAGTAGGAAGAGGAGAGAGAAAGAGAGACGGAGCGAGAGACCGGAGGCTCAGGAGAGAAGTGTGAGATAGAAAGGGAATAGGACGTGGAGGAGAGGCCCGAAAATCCCGTCTTATGACGGGCTATTGGCTAGTTGCTCAGGATAGTGTAGGACAACCATAGAATGGGTGCAAGGGTAATATGTCCTTTTCTCTCATGTAACCTGTGTGATGACATTAAACCTAGCAGTTGTGCTTTGCACACGATTTGTCTGCCCTTACCTCTAAAACTTTTTTCACGTCGCACTTGTCTCAACACCATTGGCATTTCTGACAGGGAGTCACATATAGGGTAATCTTTACACTGATTGAGCCTGTGTGTTTTCTCTTACAGACAATCCTACCATCATCAGCAACCTTCTCTGCACTTTTACGAGCTGTAAGAGAGGCCTAACAAGACATTTCCTCCTTTCTGCCATTGAAGGAATCAATTTGGTTTATGACCAGTATCAGGTTTGAGGGATTTCTAAACATTCTTTTCTCATGCTTTAAATTTCACACTGGAAAATTACTTCAAGTATTTTCTTTCTCCTCCCTCCCCCCTGCATCTTATTGCCAGAAAAATCAATCATCCTGATTGTGTACACTCAGGATTTTGAAGGGATATTCTGTTGCACATGGTAGTGATACCCAGAGGAAGTCACATAATATATGCTGACACTTGTTGAAAGTCATAAACAGTATCACTGGCTTGTCACTCACTGAGTACCAAACAGCAATTGCTATTTTCTTGCTTTATATTCATTAACAGCCCCATTCAAGTATTCCAGGTGCTTTCACAGCATTAAAAATTTACAAGGACAAGAGTAAAATCCAAATCAAATACAAATGGCTCTCCCAGCCAGAATCATCTGGATTAAAATAATACCCAAAGTACATATTAACTGTGCTTGCCAAGAAGATTGATCTGTGTTTCTGCAACCATTCTGAAGCTTGGCAAAAGTCATAATCAGAACAACAAATGTAGCAATTAGAGCTCTGTTCAGTACACAGTCCTGCTCCACTGAAGTCATTGAGAGGTTTACCATCGACTTCAGTGAGAGGAGAACCAAATCATCAGAGAGCATCAAATCTTTCAATTCACCCTTTTTATAAAGTTCTCACTGCTCTGATAATTTGCACTCTGTCTACTCAGAGGTCTTGTTGATGTAAGTGGGAGTTCTGAGTATGGAAGGTGGGGATGGTCAAACTTTTTGGCCCGAGGGCCACATTTTGCTATGGAAATTGTATGGAGGGACATGAATGTTCACAAAATTGGGGGTTGGTGTGCAGAAGGGTGCGAGAACTCCAGCTGGGTGTGCAGATTAGAACATAGGAGTTCCAGGTGAGGGAGGGTGCTCTGGGTTGGCGTTTGGAGGACAGGAAGGATCTCTTGGGTTGGTGTGTGGCTGGGGGAGCAGGCTCTGGGATCATGCTGTGGATGAGGAGTTCAGGGTGCTGAAAGTCCGCCATGCTGGGATGTACAGATGTGGAGGAGGATCAGGGTTTGGAGTGCTAAGGCGAGGGCTGTAGCTCTGACTGTAGGTGCAGGTTCTGGGTGGTGCTGGAGATGAAGGGTTTGGGCTATAGAAGGGTATGCAGGACTGGGATTGAGAACTTTGGAGGATAGGAGGCGGCTCAGTGCTGGGACAGTAGATAGGCAGACAGGGCGTGGGGGCTCAGGGATGCAACATCTGGAGGGTGCTTATCTGAAGCAGCTCTTGAAAGCAGCATCCCAAACCCACTTGAGCTGCGGGTAGCATTCAGAGACCTCTGACTGCCCCTGCTACCAACCCCACTGGAGGAAGCTTGAGGGTCAGATTAAAAGGTTTGAGGGCCTGGTTGTAGCCCAGGGTCCATAATTTGCCCCACCCTGGTGTAGACAGAAAGTAGACAGAGTTGGCAGCCATCTAGCCAATCTGAGAGTAGAATTTTGCCCAGACACCATGGCTACGTCTACACTGGCCCCTTTTCCGAAAGGGGCATACTAATTTTCCAGGTCGTAATAGGGAAATCTGCGGGGGATTTAAATATCTTCAAAGTAGGGATAAATAACTTCAAAGTAGGGATAAGAGATCCTCCGGAAAAGGGCTTTTTTCCGGAGGATCGGGGCCAGTGTAGACGCTCTTTTCCGGCTTTTCTACAAGCCGGAAAAAAGCGGCGGACATTTTTATTTAAATGCCGCGGGGGATATTTAAATCCCCCGCGGATTTCCCTATTACGACCTGGAAAATTAGCATGCCCCTTTCGGAAAAGGGGCCAGTGTAGACGTAGCCCATGAATCTCTTGGTTCTTTCTCTTTCTCTCTCCCTCCCTCGGTCTCTAACATCACTTACCAATACAAAGGACATGTACAAAAAGCAAAGAAAAAAAAAAGGTCCTGATTTGCCAGAGAACAGTTAGATAAAAGGATAAACAGAGATAACAGTTCAAAGGGCATAATGCAAGGGTGACACTTGGTTGCAGGTGTTTAATAGATCATTATTCATTCAGAAAATACACAACTGTTAGCAGTTTAGGCCTGTTAATTCAGGTAAATACATTGTATGTAAGTTTAATATGGTTGCCATGTTTTGCAGGATCCGGAAACAATATGGTTAACATCCAGCGAAGGGGACTGTGGGAACCTTTTGTATCTAAACAGGAAGCTTTCCAATGCATTGGAGAGCTTCCAGGGAGCACTACAAAATACCACCTGCAGCAGCTGTGAACATCAACTCACATTTGAGAACATCCAGAAACACATGCAAATGTAAAGCTTTTATTTTTCACCGCCATGTTGTTCTGCTGTACACTATTTTTGTTAGACATAGTGATTTAGTTTCATATCTTGTCATGAAAAGTTTGCATAATTATAATATAAACTCTGCTGACCTATTAGTTGGTTAACAAAGTAAGGTGCTGGTTAAATGGAGCTCGTTTGGATATCCTGACAACGATATATACCATCGGTCCATGATGATTAAAATCTCTGCTTAACAAAATGTGCTGGAAATTTTCAAACACAATTACTGTGTAGCCATCAAAGGTATCAGCAGTACAGGTTGGACCTCCCTGGTCTGGCACCCTCGGGACCTGACCCGTCCCTAATGACAGAATTTGCCACATCAGGGGAGGTCCCTTGCCACCGACCTACCAGAACAAAGCCTCTTTCTCTGTCTGGCTCCGCTCCAGCCCTGCTGCTACAAGGCTTGGCTCTGGCGCACTTCCGCCAACTGGCTGGGACTCTCAGGGGATAGAGCTCCCCAGCCACTGCTGTCCTGCTTCTGTTCCACCTGGCTGGAGCTTCCCAGGGACAGGGTGCTGTGGCTGCTCTGCTTCTGTTTGACTGGATCCTCCCGGGGATGGGGCTCCACAGCTGCCCCACTGGGTTGGGGCTCCGTAGCTGCCTTGCTGATGCCATAGCCAGCCAGGGCTTCCCATGGATGGGGCTCCGTGGCTGCCCTGCTGCTACAGTGCTCAACTGGGACTCCTCAGGACGGGCCTCGCCATTCCTGAAGTTAGGGCTCCCTGCTGCTGAACTGCAGACCGGCTTGCACTACAGTGTGCTGGGGCTCTCTGGTCCAGCAACATCCATGATCCTGCTGGATCCAGGTTCTTGCCAGATCAGAGAGTCCTGAATTTAGGAGGTTCAACGTGTACTGAACCATAGTTACTGACTTGACTCCGAATTGTGAAAATCTCTCTTCTTTTCTCTCTACCCCAGACAGTTCAAAATAACCCCATATTTAGGAGTTCTTTGCTGACCTTGGTTTTCCAAGGCCTAATCCTGTGACATGATGAGCATCTTTTTCAATATGCTAAATATTCAGGTCAACTCAAGTTGAGAGTGGACAAAAACACACAGACTGTGCTTGGCACCACACAATAGATGAGCCCTACATCATCTTAGGTTTTTTTCTGTCACTATATACTGTACTGTTATGAAGTCAGCAGAGAGCTTAGCAAATACTAGTGTTAACTGAAGGGTAAATGAAACTGTGCTGGAAATCTTGGTGATTCTTTACAACAGTTGCCTATGAAAGGGTAATGCTTATTATCTACTTTACTCTATGATCAGTTTCCATCCAATAGACCATTTTTTCAAAATGTACCTGAAAGAGTTAAGTTCATTAGTGCCATTAAGAAGAGTCTGTGGCCATTAGCTGCTGTCCCTCCGGATTGTTGATTCATGCCACCATTTTTTTTTGTCCATTCAATGAAAGTTGTGGAGGTGAGAAACTGCTTGTTCGAGTGCTTCTCCCTCTGGTTTGTTTTAGCAATCTTAATAATCTAGAGCTCTTCTCATGAATTATTTCCTCTCGTAACTCACTCCTTGGCCCCTTTGCCACCCATGACAGCTCACATGTACAAGCAATAGGCCTAATCTGGCTCTTAGAAAATTAAGCTTTTGCCTAATTAATGCTACTTCAATATGCTACTTATGTTTAGTATACTAAGTATAGGGATTATAAATATAGGGACTTTATACTTCGTATGCTTAACATAAAGTAAAGCAAATTATTTAGAAAATTTAAAGAAATTGCTCCTTGTAAAACTAGTGTTGTTATTTCAGGTTGGCTGGAAATCTAAGGGCACCTCTGTCTGCAAATCCAGTGGTAGCTTTTCTCAGTAACATCAGTATGCCAAATGGTGAGTGCATGTTTACTTTACAGGAGGTAACATAAAATTCAGTGCTGTTTTGGAGATCACTGTATGCCTGTGGTGTCCAACACACTACCCACATATGGCTATTTGGCTGGCTGAGTGTGGCTAGTTCACTATATCAAAACTGGTTGGACACCACCGCTTGTTCTCAAGGCAAGAGAAAAAACATCACAAAGTAAAAAGAATGCTGCTTATGTACAGCATCAAAGTACAATTGCACTGTGGTCACTGGAATCATTTGAGGTCTGTCTCTTTCCCAACATCACTCTAGCCTATCTGTTGCCATGGGCCCCAGGTCAGCATAGTTTCTGTGGAAACCATACTGACAAGGGCTGCTGTAGTCACGTGCTCCTTGAATCATTTTCATCAGGGAGATCCAAACTGCAGAGTGGTTTAAGTGATTGAAAACTACCTTTGGTAATTTAAGGTGCCTTCTTCCCAAACCAGCTATGTTGAATAGCTTACGCTTAGAACCCTAACAAATTCATGGCCCATTTTGATCCATTTCACACAGGATTTTAAAAAATAGTTTCACTATTTCAGCTATTTAAATCTGAATTTTCAGTCTTGTAGTTGTAGGGATGCTGTCACAAAAAGGAGTTGAGGGGGAGTTGCATGTTATTTTGGTACTTGCTACCTTTACTGTTGCTGGCAATGGTGCCGCCTTCAGACCTGGACAGCTGCAGAGGTGTGGTCCAGCTCTGAAGGCAGAGCCACCGCCGGTAGCAGTGGAGAAGAAAAGATGACATGGTATGATATTAAATCTTAGAGGGGTAGCCGCATTAGTCTGTAACTTGAAAAACAATGAGTAGTCCTGTGGCACCTTAGAATCTAAGAAAGGTATAGGAGCTTTCATGGGTAAAACTATCGCTCTCTAAAGTCAGCATAGAAGTGAGGGTGGCAATACCATGACCCCCACCCCAATAATCTTATGTCCCTCCCTGCAACTCTCTTTTGGGTCAGACACTCAATGTGAGAAATGCTGATCTCCCCTCATGAAATCTGTATAGTAGGGTAAAAGCATACAAAAGGACCAGATTTCACAGAAGAGGTTCAGATTTCATACTCTTTGACATATTTCATGGCTGTGAATTTAGTAGGGCCCTAATTTTGCTCCAGTGCAGTAAACCTTCTGCTCCCTTTTTTCTGTCTGTGAATCCAGAGCTCCTCCAATCCCCTACAATTGGTGGGAAAGAAAGCAGCATGTCTTGGAAACTGTACTTGGCTCTTTCATGGTTGCTTAGCATAGATGGGCAAGGAAATAGAAGGCTGCCTGGTGGCCCTAATTAAAGCAGTTTGGTGGGAAATTAACAATACTTATTTTCTTACATTGCAGATGTGAAAATCAAAGACTGCATGCAAAATGCCACTGAACTGGCATGGAAACTTCGTTCTTCAGTCAACATTTCTCAAGAGACTGTGGACACCCTCTTGGAAGCCAATATCTCTCACTCCAAGGTATGAGATGAGAAGTGGCTGCTGAATTAACATGTGCTATAACAATGCTTTCCAGTCTGTCTTAGCTGGTGCAGAAATGAACAAGACTTGTTAAGCTATATGGACTTCCTGTGTTTTCATTTACCATTTTTTATGCGGAAGATTGTTTTTGTTTGGAGAATCCAAAATAAAGCATTAAAAGCCCCAGGAGAAATTCCTGTGATACTGGCAGCCAAACCTTGAGGCATTGCAAAGTATGTTGGAAATATCAAGGTTTCATCTTCTTGGATAGTTTGCTCCTATTCTCTCGTTTAATGAGCAAAAAGTTCTAGCTCTTAGTTAGTGGGTGGATGGGGAGGAAAGGGCAAACGCCAAATTCTCTGTAAATAGGCAAAGTCCCTTTGGTTTCAATGGAGTTTCACCCAGTTTTACCTAACAAAGGAAATTCTGAAGAGTCATACATGCCATGGAGAAAATGTGTTGCATTTCCCAGAGTTCTCAGGTTTGTGGTGAGGAGAGCAGACCACTTTCTTGGGCTCTCTTGATATGCTAGTCCCCCCAAAGGTTTGATGTCACTGTGTCTGTTTCCCAGGACTGTGACATATTCCCTTTCTCTGAGCATGGGAAAGTATTAACTCTCCTTTGTCCAGTATGAATCATAAAGGAGGCAACTAAGTACAAGTGTTGTTTGCTCTGTGTGTCTGTGTGCACATGTGGGAAATGAACTGGTATTTTGGTACTTGATAGAATCTGATCAGATCAATCAAGCAGCCACTGGATGTCACTGATGCTCCACAAGCAGAGGACAGTGCCGGTTTTGTCCATAGAAAGCTTGACTGATAGAATGGCTGTTGTCAGTCTGAAATCTTTTCTTTCACAAGTGAAGCCTAACTTTAATTGTCACTGATTTCTGTGCTTCTGTTCCTTTGTTAATGTGAATAACTGACATCACTGCTGTTTCATTACTTTGTTAGCAATATACAAAGGTAGCGTACCTGGAAGTGATTCGGTAGAGGAGGAGTTTGACAGTAAACTTTTATATCCCTAGTCTCCTTGAAATAATACTGCCACAGAGTTGAATTTTCAAATGCAGTCACTTAATTTAAACCAACAAACTCTATGGATGCACACTGCTATGCAAAAAAATGCCATGTTTGTATGTTCATACTAACATTTGCTTGTGGGGAAAAAGTACTTTTTAGACATATCCAATCCATATCAGACCCACTGAAAACAGTTTTACTTCTTGCAAAGGGTTCAAGCATATTTTTAGGTGCAAATTATGCAGCTAATATATGGCACGTAGTGGACATAGCTATGAAAGCATTTTTTTATTTGCAGTTGTGTGTGTGGGGGGGGCAGTTGATGAAGTTTTGTGATTGGTGATGTTGCTTCTCTTATCTATGCTTTTGATTCACCTCAGTACTAGACTATGGTAATATGCACTGTGGCACGCTGTCTTAAAAGGCCATTAAGAAACTGAATTTAACATAGACTGGTTGCTCATTTAATGAGTGGCTTTTTATATCAACCATGCATATAACTATTGCCCAGAAAATTGCACTACTTCTGAACTTCCAGAACAAGTTCAAAGGGTGAGTTATGGATAAAGCTACGAGTGGCTTGGTATATTGATGCTTAGGAACCAGATTTCTATTCTATGGAAGATTTTTGGAATAAAAATCTTGGGGGGAGGGGGGGAATCCTGTGGAGAGAACTATTAAAATTATTTGATTGACAGTGTAGAAAAATATTTATTTTGCATGTATAGTACATTAAAATTTATGAATAATATATATTCAATAGTAAAATGTCCTTATCATTAACATTAATATAAATTAAGTTGAAAAAAATAATCATTTTGATTATTCCTATTGAAACTTTTATTGAGATGTCATTTTTTCCCTCCACAATATTATAATTTGACTGAAAATGCATTTTTCATCAATGATTTTTCAACCAGCTGTGTCTGGGGATCTCATTAATCACCTCCCTCCAAACGTCCCTCTGTATAAGTGGTCGTAGCACAATCAACAGACATGCTCAAGGAGCAATTTCCTCCTCATGAACAGAGAGTTTCAAGCTCTCTGTTCAGCAAAGGCGCTTCTTGACCCTGGAACTCTTGTACCTTCTCAGGCTCATGGGCTACGTCTACACTGCCAGTTTTGCAGGCAGTGAGTATGCAAATGAGGCACAGATTAGCATATCAACATGCCTCAATTGCATAATTTATGCAAACCATTTTTGCGCAAAGGATTTTTGCAGGGGAAAAAAAGTAGTGCGTTTTTTTTTTGCATAAAACCCCCTTTTCCCATCAGATCAGTAAACCACCTTTTTTTGGAGCATAAGGATTTGGCGGGAAAAGGGGTTTTTGCACAAAAAGAAAGCGTCCACACTACTTTTTTTCCACCAAAAAGTCTTGCATAAATTATGCAAACGAGATACAGTGATATGCTAATCTGCACCACATTTGCATACTCTTTGCCGGCAAAACTGACAGTGTAGACATTGCCTCAGATCCCTGGACTTGTTCCTCTGAGCTCTCTACAACAGCTATCTTTTCTCCTTTGCTTTTGAGGAAGAGGGAGGCTGAGATTTTTGGAAATGTATCTGGGCTGGCAAGGTTTGTCTTTGCTTTCCATATTTGTGGAGGAGCAGGAGCCCTTTGCACTACTGGATAATACTATTCACTGCTAAATTAAATAAACTCACCTGTTTTTATTTCTTTCTTGCCCCATCATGATATTGTTATATTTATCTGATAATGTGATTTTGTATTTTTAAAATATCTGTGTAAATTCTCTGAGGACATGTCTAGACTGCAGCTTTCAAAAGAAGATATGCAAATTCCAATCCTGTTTTTGGAAGAGTTTTTTCAGAAAAAAAAGCAGCCTAGGCATGGTTCTTTTAGGGAAAAAAAAACTTTTTGATAACGCCCTGTACACCTCATTTTTTTTAGGAAGAATGGTTCTTTGGGAACTCTTTAAAAAATTTTTTCTCGAAAAACCACATCTAGAATGCTTTTTTCCCCCCCAAAAAAACTCTTCCAAAAATGGGATCAGAAGAAGATATACAAATGCAGCGCAAATTTGCATATCTTCTTTCAAAAGCAGCAGGCAGTCTAGATGTGCCGTCAGTTTTGGGGCACTGCATCATAAGCCCATGTCCTGGGTTTGTATATTTGGTGTTTCCAAGCCCAAACTTAATGACAAGTCTACACTAAGAAATTATTTTGAAATAACTACATTCAATATACTAACTCCCGAAATAACAAAATCGAAATAGCATGTCCTCACTACAGGAAGCCTCAAAATTAGTCCGACGCAGGCTCTGTTCCTGTCCACATGCTACCCCAACTTAGAGCCTCAGGAAGCACTGGGGAGTAATTACTTTGAATGACTCTGGGGAGTAACTATTTTGAAATAGCAACAGCAAAGTGTCCACACGCACACTATTTTGAAATAACTATTTTGAAATAAGCATTGTTCCCCAAGGAAAGCAGGAGTAAAGATTTTGAAATAACCAGCCTGTTACATCAGGGCTAAATGTTCACACTGCATTGTAATCTGGTTTTATACTTGCTTAACTTTAGTCTCACAGTCATGCTAACACATCCATACTGCGCTATGTACACCATATGTCTTGGGTCTTCTGCTTCAGCTATGTGTGATCTGAAAAATGACAAGGCTTGGAACCAAGTCACAGAGGAATTCGAACTCTAAACCCCATGTCCCAAACAGGATCCTAGGACTTGGGTCATAAATGCTTGCCTACTTGAGTGTGAAAGATTTGTGTGTGGGCAGAAAGGAGAGTTGGGCTGAAGTCAAAGCCTAAGATTAGTGTGCTGTAGACATACATTACATAAAGATAAACAGGGGGACTGACAGGATTGCTGGACCCTTGGGCAATTTTTGAGGGGGTGCTCCATATTTCTGGAAGGGCTAAGGCCTCAGTTAAAGGGGCAGGGCCGTGACAGCCAGCCTCCCCAGCACTTACAGACTGCCCAGCATGCCACCCAATATCCTGTCTTCTGACCCTGGGTGGGTGATGTCATATGCTTCAAAGATGGTGAGCAGAAGAGGATCGTTATTGAGTGGTCCAGTTCTGTCTTCCGGCATTTGGAGATTAGGGATTTGCAGAATATGGGTTTGCATTCCTGACCCTCTTGAATAATAGCCATTGATGAACCAATCATGAATTTACCTAATTCTGTTTTATCCAGTTATGTTTTTATTTTATCTAGTTATATTGTTGGCCTTTACAACTTTACAATGAGTTCCACAAGTTGATGGTGTACTGTGTGAAGAACTTTCATAAGTTTGTTTTAAATTCAATGCCTGTTAATGTCATCCGCTGACCCCTAGTTCTTGCAATATGTGAAGGAGTAAATAACTCCTCCCTGGTCCCTTTCTCAGTACCATTCATGATTTTATAGATCTCTATAATATCCCCTCTTAGTTGTGTCTTTTCTAAGTTCAACAGTACCAGTCTTTCTAATTTTTCTTCATATGGATGTTTTTTCATATCTTTATTTTCATTGTCCTCTACGTCTGTTTGAATTAATATATTTTGAAGATGGGCAATTAAGACTGCATGCAGTTTTTTATGTCTGGGTGAACCATGGATTTATATAGTATCATTATGATTTTTTGTAGTTTTTTTTTTAATCTATCCCTTCCCTAATGATTGTTAGCTTTCTTGATGGCCAGTGCACATGGATTGGAAGTTTTTAGAGAACTCTCCAAAATGATATCATTTTCATGTGTGATACCAACTAATTTAGAGCCTATTATTTTGCATGTAGAGTTTGGATTATGTTTTCCAGTGTGCATTATTTTGCACTTACCAATATCGAATTTTATCTACCATTTTGTCCCCCAGTTCTTTAATTTAATGAGATCCCTTTTTAAGTCTTTCTAGTCCACTTTGAATTTAACAAACTTTAATAGTTTTGCATTGTTATGCCAATCTTTGTTGTGGTTTATAGGTGGTTCTACAAAAAAAAAGTATGTATGAAATTTATATGAATTTTTTCTATGAGTATTCAATGTTATACATTTGCCTGTCCAGATGGTGCCTATTAACTGATTAACATTTATGAATTAAAATAAATAGTAATGGAAAATGCACCTTATCACTTGATATACTCACACTTTACACTATATGGGCATCTAATCTTGATAAATATGTAATTGTCTTCCAATTCTATTAGTAATTATAAAGATAGTTATTTATGTTATGAGAGACATTAACAATATATTCAATTAAAAACACCTTGATACATTTCAGATGGGATAAATTTTAATCCACCTTTACAACAGTTTCTCCCCAGTGCCCTTGCAGTAGCTTTAGCTGGAAGATGTGACAAGGAAACACTTGGTCTCTTGCTGACGCTTCCTGAAAATGATAAAACGTCTCTGGCAGTGAAGGAACTTTGTTCTCTCCCAGCACTGGACATGTATACCATGATTATACTGATGACACAGAATTTGAACTTGCGTGATACTGTTTACAAGGTAAGAGGAAGAAGTACTTATCTTAGTAGCTCCAGAACGTTCAGGAATTAAGTAATCCAATTACTGCCCATAGTTGTATCCCATATATTTTGTTATTTTAGATCAAGGTTTCTCAAACTTCATTGCACCACAACTCCCTTCTGAACATAAAGTACTATGTGACCCTGGGACAGGGCACCAAATCCTGAGCCCCACAGTTCTGGGGGGCAGTGTGAACAGGGTTGCCAGGTGTCTGGTATTGGCCTGGACAGTCTGGTATTTGCAGCCTCTGTCCAGTTAAAAAAACCCAGAAAATATTCTGTTTTTCTAGGACAAAAAGCCGGTTGGGACATTCTTCCCCTGATGCATCTGGGAGGGAGAGGGCAGGAGGAGCATGGGGATTTAAAGGCACAGTGACTCTCTTTTGTGTGTGTGTGTGTGTGTGTGTGTGTGTGTGCGCGCGCGCGCAATTGTGGAGGTTTTTTGGGTTTTTTTGCTGAACCAGTTTTGTGGAAGTTTTTTGGGTTTTTTTGCTGAACCAGTTTTTTTCCCCACCATGTTTGGTATGTTTTGTGAAAGTATCTGGCAACCCTAACTGTGAAGCCAAAGCTTGAGGGCTTTAGCTCTGGGCAGTGGGACTCAGACTTTTGGCTTTAACCTCAGGCCGCGTCAAATCTCCCAGTGATTGCGAAAAGGTGCATGGAATCTTTTTTAGACACCCAACGGACCCAGATTTTGGTCTCATATCTCACCCAAAAGGCAGCTCTGTAATAAATACTGCAACATCTACAGTGTTCAGCCAACAGATGGAAGCTGATTTGTGACTCAGGCTTGCTTAGCACTAACAAGTAGAAATTCCCAAGCTGCGATTTCATGGTTCTTGTCACAATGTTCTAACTCTAATTCTGACTCTTTGGATGAAGCTACGAATGCTAGTATTAGTCTTCCACGTGAGCAATTGCTGCAGCTGTCACAGAAGTGTTACTTGATTATGTTCTGCCTTCTGAATCACCAATAAAATTGTCAGCTAAATGCTAATAACAGAAACTTTGGAGATCCTTTAAGAGTCAATAAAAACACAGTTCAATTTTCAGATCTTTTTTTGGCTGTGTTTCCAGAACTGGAACTTAGAATTAGTCATCTTTTGACATGTAAATTGTGCAAATGTGATGTGGCATCATTTGAGAGAAACAAGTCCTGATGCAACCTTTTTCAAGTCATTTACCTAAGACTGCAGTGCGTATATAAGTATTTTATTGGCTTTACTTGGCTTTGGAGCTTTATATTTTCCTAGTTTTCTGTTTTAGAAGTAAAAATGTTCCTAAGTTATAACTGTAACTATGTGCATGAGCTGAATGTAATCATGCAAATACATACCCTCCACCTTCAGTGCATAACTGCACTGGGGCAATTTTTTGTGCTGGATGAATACTGTGGCTAAAAACATAAATTAACAGAACAAAAATCTTTTTCTCACCAGACTCTAGCTGAAGACAATAGGTCCGAGAATCATTTGAGAGTAGTAAGATTGTACCATGGTTCAAATTTTCAGCATCTAAGACACCTAAGAATCTAAAGTTTATTGGAATGTGGAAGCATCTAAGACACTTAAGAATCTAAAGTTTATTGGAATGTGGCCCCCTAAGTTTCAGTGAGACTTTGGCTCCTCTGGGTATGTCTGCACAGACCAGGACAGTGAGCCTGTGAGCTTGGGTTGATGATTCAGTCTTGTGAGGCTCATGCTACTACACCAAAAATAGCTGAGTAGACGTGGTCCAGGCTAGAGTTTGGGGTCGGAAGCCAAAGGAGGGAGGTGGGCTTCAGGCTCTGAGTTGCAACTTAAAAGCACTCTGTGCATAGCTGTTTTTAGCACAGCAATGTAAGCCTGAGTCTGTTGATCTGAGCCTGGCAGCTCGCTGCTGTGGGTTGTGTAAAAGTACCCAAAATGACTTGGATGCTTTTGAAAAATATTATTCCGTGTGCCTTTGATGTTACAATAGCTCATGTTTCCAAGATAGGAATAGCATGGGTTATGGTCTAATATTTGCAATGGATGAGTCTCATGTGTAAGAATCACATTACTGCAAAGTGCAAGTAAATGTGGTCACTACATTTATTTTCACTTACAAAGGAAACTAAACCAGATAATTTTTTGTTCCTTTGAGAGCTATGCCACAACCCAGAGGCTGCTCACTGTGGCACACTGCCTCTTTAAAGCTGGGATTTCTGGGCTTGGCAAATAATAGGGAATTTTTGTATTTCCCCACAATCTGGCTTGTGGACGGTAACGTTCAGGATAACAGGAATGTTACAAAAATGTCTGGGGTCCAAGCTTGCATGCTTCCTTTCTTCCGTCCTTGACTTCCCTTTTCTTAATATTTTCCTTTCTCTCTCTGTCTTTCAGGTTTTTTGGTTTGAGTGCTAATTTTCTTTCACTTGTTTCCTGATTAATGTATTTCCTGTATGTGAAAGAAGAATAAAGTTATCGCAACTTTTAAGTTTCTCTTGTTGTAGTAGAGAATCTGCGAGTCCAGAAAACTCTGCACACTATCACATTAGCTAGCTCACTCCAGTTAACTTCCCTTTTTTGTACCACCACCTCTTAATGTCCATGTTAACAGAATTTTAAACCTCTAAATCATTTGAAGGGCTATCATAAAACTAGCTCATGTAATTATAGAACTAATAAAGTATATCTAAGTGGGTGAGATGAAGTTCAGCTGAATGAATACAACTCAACCGAAAAATGCAACATTTGCCCATGTTGACTAGGCTTTGTAGAAGTTAAGAAGTTTTAAGCTTGTATGTGGTTAGAATATTTGAGTGCTAGCATTGTACATAGCTTTCTGCATTATGAAGTGGGGGAGGGGGACCAAGCATGTGCTGCAGAAACTGAATTGCCTCTATGAATACATTTGGGCACAGTTAACCAGGAACAAGTCTGGATTTCTAGTTTGAGATGACAGTTATCAACAAAATTATTCTGCACAGGGTGGAATATGCATTCCTCGCCTTTGTGGTAGCTGATCTCCAGGATTATACCAGAGATCCTTGTTTTCGATGCCACATGTGTATAGTGAAACTGATGACTATGACAATAGATTGGTAATAAACAGACCAATCTCCTGAAAATGACGGGCTAAAGTGTTCCTAGAATGTGTACTTAAGTGAAGTGAAGAGAGGATCTTTGAGTTGCTTTTTGAAACATAGACCAAACTAAACAAAACAGTGACTCTCCTAATACACTTTCACAGAGCCTTGTCGATTTTAATAAATTCCCAGTACAGGGTCTCATTGTTCACTGGACTGTTTCCATTAATTACTTTTCATTGGTTTATAGGACTTTTTCTGTCTTAGCTGGCTAATTGTTTTCATTGTATGATGCATATTCCAGAATGTTTGATATTTAAAGAAGATATGCAAAAGAGGATAAAATTTGATGGACTAAATTAAACTTAATGGACTACATTTTCATAATAGAAAATGCACTAGTAAATATGGACGGAGGATGGAAATAGAGTATGAAAACAATGGAAAATGGCTATTTTTTCATCTCCATTGAACAGAAAAATATATTAAAACAGGTTTCCATTAATGTAACAAAGTGACCTATAAAAACATGCACAGCCTCCCCAGCACTCAAGATCTTCATTGGCAAAAGCAGAAGACAAATTGCTTTTAGATCCAAGTGTAAGATGAAATCTATAAAGTTGAGTGTTCTAGCTGTGAGACAATAATTATAAGGAAAGAGAAGGGTGGACGGGAAAGAACTTGCGTATTAGGAAATTGCAATTCAACATGACTTTAAAACCTACTGGATTGACAGGTCAGCTAAATGATTAGTTGTGATTTTTTTAATGTTAAATTTCTTCAATAAAGTCACTGTGAAATGGTAGCCCCATTGAAATGAATGGGAGTTTTGTCTTTGTCTTTAAAGGGACCAGAATTTCACCAATGGAATTGAGCCCTAAGTAGGAAAGGAGAGACATAGCTATTTATCTAGAAAGCAGAAACACGTTCTGTATATTTCAATTTTAAACTTAAGGGGTTCTGACAGTAAAATGATTTTTGTAATTTGTGTTGATACAACAATTACAAAATTGGTCCAATACAAAGACAGAATTTGGTCCAATTATATAATTTGGTCCAATAAAAACACATTATCTTGCTTGCCTCATCTCACTTTGTTTAGACAAATTGTGAGTACATTGGAAAATTGTGAAAACATTGTAGTTATTTTTGATCATCAGTACCCATTCCTGCCATAGTCAATGAGAAAGCACAGTGGAAGTATATGGGGGAAACAGCATTTTCTTGAGCTTCTTTAAGCAGTGGAAGAAAGGCTTGAAGAATTTATAAACTCCATATTGTATGAATAGGGTGAATTTTATAATAATTGATGCTCACATTTTTCTCTTCTTCAAGATCATGTTACCTTCGGAGGTCAACAAGTTACTAAATGTCTTGCTGGAAGTGGTCTCAAGCATCAGCTCCCTTTTAAATAAAGTCCAACATCTCCTTGATAATCTTCCTATGTTCCTCCAAGCCTTCAAAAGCAAGGATCTGCCCGACATCTCAGCATTTCAACAGGTATGTGTGTGATCTTTCATCCATTAGCTGTATTTATAGTATAAGTATAATCACCTTTTATAAAGGATTTCCTTAAGGTCAAGTATTAAATACTAAGAAGGAATGTTGGACACAATCCTAATGTACCCCATAGACCATTGGGTGGTATTGCATAATGGGTTAATTGAACCTGTTGTGCTCAGGCCTCATTACATTTCGTAGTGTCTCATCACCAGTACCCATTTCTGCTATAGCCACAGATTCTTCTGGTGATGTACCATCTATATACTGCTAGCTCTTTTTTTTGGTACTGCATGAAATCACAGCCTTAAGTGATATGGCAACTATCTGTTTGTTAATAATGACATCTATTCTTTGTGTAATGGAGATAATGGGCCATTCATTATTAACATTTATTTTTGTAGTTATAAAGCCATTCCTTTGATCGATGCCTTGCATAGTTTCTCCATCTGCTACTTTGTTAGAATGAAAATTGTTCACCTATTGTAAATCACAGCTCGTTTCTCCAAAAGCACTGCATGGGCAATTGATAGAGCCATAGTGTTGTGTCCTTTAATTTCCTCAGTGACTGGTAATTGTCTGCTTGGTAGGAAGGGAGGGTCTTGTGGTTAAAACATTGAATTTAGGGTAGCTGATTTCAGTTCCTAGAACTGCCATATATAAATATATATATTTTCTTGACTATGCCACTTGGATCCCTCTGCTTCAACTCCCTAGCTGTAAGTGAGGGTAATACTTCCTCACTCTATTTGAAATGTAAGTTTTTTGTGGAAAGGGCTCTGACCATGTGTGTATGCACTAGTTAGCATGATATTGGAGCTATTCTAAAATAAACAATAGGTCATAATAAAGGACTCTCCAAAGGGCCAGATTCTGCTACTCTTTTCCCCACTGAGTAATACCTTATTCCAACAGCTTATTTTATCAATTTCAGTGGCACTACTTTCTGAAGAAAGGTGTTACTAAGAATAAAGATGACAGAATCTGGCCTTAAAATTGCAAACCTTTCAAATGCCTCACTGGTAGGTAATGCACACCTGCTTGTTGCTATTGAGTACTATAGTCAATGTTGCCTTAAATCCCACCTAGAGGACAATACCCGTTGCTGATGTAAATCAGCAGAGCTCCAGTTATTTCAGTAGTGGTATAAGATTTCCCCATAAGGCTCTAATTTATGTGGTTAAGTTAAAACCTCAAAATGTTACTCCAACAGGATTGCCTGTTTGTCTTTAACCCTTTTCTTGAATTCAAAGCTTCCCTGGCTATTTTATAGGCTTGGTTCTTCTAAAAAGGCATTTGTCCGTGTTTCCAATCTGTTGACCTTCCATTCTTTGGGCTAGCTTCTCAGGTAGTGTGTGTAATTGTAGCTCTATTAAAGTAAATGGAGATATTCAGATTTACATCAGTTGAGGATATGGTCTTGACGTTTTTGAAATCAATGATCTGATTTACAGAAGGTTCAGGGCCTTCCCCAGTGGGAATAAAATATTATTGATTGAGCCTACCTAACGTCTCCCAGAGTTGATGGTTTGATAGAGTTAATCTTTGGAAAATCTTATTTACAAAACTTGGCAGAAAGAAGAATCCAACAGCAGAGGGGGCCAGCTCCTCACAGTTTTGCTCTCTTGTTTACTGCTACTTACATCATCCTGGACTGTGGCCAATCACACCCTAAAGTTTTGTGTTTTTTCATATCTTCCAATTTACTGATTACTTGTTCTGGCATAATCTTCATATTTTGTAGGGATTTTTTTTTGTTTTTGTTTGTTTGTCTTTTTAAACCTTCCCTCCTGGTAAATTTATGTCTGTTTTTGCCATCAAGTCTCCTCTCTAAACACTCAAGCAAAAAAAAAAAAAAAATCATTTAATTGTTTTAGCAATTCATTGTCTGTCTCTTTAGTTAATAAATTACCCATGTGGTTTCTCAAATGCCCTTCTGTGTACATTACTGACCTTTTGTTCCTTTATGTACCAGCAAAAAAGAGTTATTTATCTTAATCTTCCATTCATTCTCAGTCTTTATAGGTTTGGCTACATTTTTGCTATTTTCTAACATATACCCTTTTATCCTTGATTATTTTGTTCACTTCTCAGTTTATCCACATTGACCACATTTGTAACTCCAGTTAATGGTGGATATAACCCTTGGGCATATCCTAAGACACTTTCTATTTCTCCTGTGTCTCTTTCATGCAGGATTTTTTACCTTAGTGATTGTAATACTGAACTGCTTTCTGTTCTTAATTGCACTGTGGAAATATTTTGTAATGAATAATTTATTTGAAAAAAATCATTTTTTGTTGGTGAACTGATCATGAATTGTGCCAGTATGTTTGAAGATTAAAATTATTCACTGAATCTTCTATCACCAATTCTTGGTCTTTGTATCACTCACAAACAGTTCATTGCAAGTGTTCAGGATTTAAATGCTAAGTATTTTGATTGGCTGCTCAGGTGATTAAATGGTTAGTATGTTTTTGTTCTCTGATTTGCCTAATTCTTAGAAACAAGATTTCATTGCAAAAAATCATTATATGAATTCCTAGTTGTTTGCATTTATATATTCTATAGTACATAAAATTCTCTTTCACTGAGTGTTCATACCAGCAAATTCTTTGGAGATCTAGGCATTGACGTGCTAGTGAATACTGGCTTCTTAACTAGTACTCATTATACTACTTCACTTTGTTGATGATCACATTTCATTTAAACTATTGCCAAAGGTACAGCCTCCAAGCTGAGCATGCACTATTACATTCTTAAAGTGAAGTTCTGCTTTGAAAATGACTTTGAAAAAAATGATATGTTTCACATGTATAATGTCTGAGTGATTTCCATATTACACATGTTCAGTTTACTAGATTCAATGTTTTTTTCCAACTCCGCCTGGGTGCTGAAAATCTCCTTACCATTCTTTCTGGCATGGATATCTTCAACTGAGATAAATTTCAGACCGGCCAAATGCTTGTTTTATTTACATCTTTGCAACCCAACTATTGTAACCCATCCTCAGTTACAATTGTGCAACCATATAATCCTCAGTGGGATTGCACAACTGTGAGCACGTAATATCATACCTGCTATTGCACAGGTGTTATTGGAACTTAGCTCACAATAGAGTTGAAGGTATATAAGCTATAAAAGCAGGCAGATCAGACTCCCAGAGCAGCATCAGTTCTTCAGGACTGATGACAATAAAAATATTTCCTTCCTTCCTTCCTTTCGTTCATAAAAAGGTCCAATTTGTTCAAAATATACATATACCACCAGAAATAGATCTAATAAGAATATACCATTTTACATTTTTTTCAAAGAACAACTGTATTTTAATATTTTGAACAAAGTACAACTGTTTTCTTTGTAACAGGCCAATTTTCATGACAGACATTTTCTTCATGTAAAAAAATCTCTTACTTTTTTATTATCATCTGTATATAAAATGTGCCAGAAGAGCAATACATTGAATCCTACTTTTGTTTTGTTCAGAGTAGCAGCATGTCTGAAAAATGACCAGATAATTCAGAGGTCGGCAATCTGGTGGTCCTGATATTTACGTTCTTTTCCTGCCCAGTCAAACCATGAAATTACAACAATTTCAAAAGGTTATAGTAGTACATTATACTACCGTCTTTCACAGAGTAAGATGGCCATTGAAGTGGCGCTATCTATCGCTGACAAAGGTGATCATGAGAACAGGAGAGCACAACATGCATCTATTCTTGTAAACAATCTGAACACTGTCATTTTGTTGTTCTCCTTGGATGCAGTAATGGGGAAGAACATCTGACCTGTTCCTGCATCTGTGAAAGTTTTAAGTGGACAGTTTTAATTGTGTTGTAATTGGGATTCCATTCCTTAGTAGTTGTTGTTCTAGTTCTTACAGGGTGGCAAATCCAGAAGTTCTATTGTTGGATCCCTTCAGTCTTTAATCTCGTCAGTCTGTAAAGAAGAATCCTCTTTCTTCAGCAACACCAACATGTTCATTGACATGCCGAGGACCACTGAGCTCTTGGATGGTGATATGGCAAAATACAGCATTCCCAAAAACTCAAGTAAGAGAAGCATCAGTCACAAGTTGCATATATACGTACTTGCATTCAGAGTTTGCAGTGCATTCTAAACCTTCTCCTCTTAAATGGAAATGTTGAAATATGAAATGACATTGCAGTCCCGAACACAAGGAATGATTGATGAAAGTTTTTATTACACAGAAATGATTACGGAGAAAAGTGACAAGCAGTCCAAGTTATTTTGTATTCTTGCATAAAACAACAATAAATAGGACACCCCTGTCTCAAATGGGTGATATATATTGGAAGTTTATTGAATGTTCAAAATTAAATACATTTATTAGATACAAGGTTACAAATCTATGGCTAAGTACTTTTATTTTGTGAACTTGATTTTATGGTATTTTATGGTAACATCCATCAGCCTCTGAATATAAGTAGAGAAGAATATCTTCTGTCTTTGCTTGTAGATGAATTTTTGGTTCCCATTAGAGTTAATATTCCAAATAGCCTGTGCCATGCTATTATTCCATATTATGTGTGTGAGGGACTGTTTTCTAGACCTATCACACATCCCTCCACCACCATGTGACTCATCCAAATTAATTTCAGTGATCTTACAGGAAAGAAAGTGTGACTCAGAGGTGTGAGTCCATTGCTGCTCTTTTGGAGGAGGAGTGGTAGTGATAAGGGGAGAAATATCTGCTTCTGGCTCTATGGTCTAACAGATAGCAACATCTTGCTTGGGCTGAGCTGTCTAACCTGGTGCACTGAGTGTGGAGTCAGGGCTCTTCATGAGCATTACCACTAACATAGGAAGAGAGTACCAGTCAGACGGTCCCCGGTTGTGCTTCCCCTACTAGTAGTAGAGTTTCAGAGAGGCTGCACAGGTGATTGTGTATGGGTCCTTACCCCTCCTGCCCACTCCTCCACCCCACCTTATAAATCTCAGCCACCCTGGCTTCCAGTCCTCCATGCCCATTACTGAACTTGCCTTATAGCCTTATAGGCCAACAGCTGGACAACAATTTCATAAAAAGTCCTAAAGATTTGCTCCAGTGCTTCAAATGTCAATCATGCTATTGCTCTGGCCTGGTCACCTCAGAGCCCTTGTTAATATTTTCCAGTTACAGATATTTCATGTAGAGGACAACTTTCTTAGCGGTTGTGGAGGTCTGATCTGGTCCAAGAACTGGGTTCTCGAAAGTCCCTTTGGTTACAGTACTGGCTCTGACATCCACTCCTTGGTTTTTGGGCAGTCCACTTGATATTTCAAATTCTAATTCATTTCTAATTCAGTTCCCCTTTGTAACTAGCGATGATATAACTGAGCCGAGTAAAATTTTTGTTAAAAAGTCTTTTTTTTTTTGGCAGATACTGAACCTATTTGTGAATTGAGGTCAAATACAGCAAATATTTTCAAGAGGAAACCTTACGTTTCTTGGGAAATGCTGAAATGATTTGTTTTGACATTTAGTTTCAAATTAACTTTTCAAAGTGATTTTTTTTTTGTTTGCTTTGGGGACAAAACCAAAAACTTAGTTTTTCTTAGAACGGCTTCTAGAATTTTTCTGCAAACTGAAAAATCAATTATTTGCTCAGCTCTACTAGTGACATTACTCAGTGTTTGTGTAGCACAATATGCTCCAGATGAAAATGTGTCTTGAGTAGGATCCTTCATTGGTCTATAGTTGATGTTAGTCTCATACACTTTAAAGAACTTTTGATCGGTATGAGAATTTTTAACACTGACTCTTCCCTCAATGTTTTATTTTGTGTATATTTTTGCCTATGCACTTTGATTCTAGAACTGTAATACATGACCCCAGCTTTTATGATAGGTGCAGTGTTTTCACTAAGCCCTGGTCTGCACTGTACAATTGGGTTCATATAAGTCAGCTTACAATGACTTAATGGTGTACACACTACTGCTTTCCTTCCACCAATGTGCTCTGCTACACTAGCATGGTAACTTCACCAGAGGTGCAGTGCTTATATCAGTGTAGTTAGGATGACTGGGTCTGTGAACACTGTATTACTTATCTCAGCTGTTGACTATCTTGTCAATTTCATGGCTCCATGCATTTCTGGTAGGGGACAAAGCACAAACAGAAGAGGGTTAATGAGTAATTACTGTGGTGGCTATAAATCAAACGCAGCACAAACAGAAGAGGGTTAGTGAGTAATTACTGTGGTGGCTATAAATCAACCTAATGTAGGTTGACTTAGGGCTGTAGTATAGACATGCCTTAAGGTTCTAATCTCTTTGGGTGATGATTGTTCTCACTTTAAGATAAGGTTGTGGATCCCCAGCTTCATACAAATTCAGGCATTTGGGGAATGAGCTACGTCTCTCCAAAGAGCTGTAGTGATGTTCAGTGAGAACTGAAGGGTTTCAGCACCGTAGAGAGGCCAAGCCTAAGTTAACATGCATAGGCATTATGTTGCTGAATTAATCATCGACTTGCACCATCTCATAAATATGGTCTCTCTCTCTCTCTCTCTCTCTCTCTCTCTTCTTTACCACAGCTCCATTTTGCTTGCAGCTTTATCAGGAAATTTTACAGTCACCTAATGGAGCTTTAGTGTGGACCTTCCTGAAGCCCCTGTTACATGGGAAGATACTGTACACTCCCAACAGCACAATGTTTAACATGGTGATAGAAAAGGTGAGCATATAAAGAAAATAAAATCAAATATCTGTACCTGTGTGGCTGAAAGAAATAATGGGAAATCTAAAAAAACGGTCAGGGTTTTTTTTTCCCTCCAGCTATTATGCATTTCCTTGGTGGCTGATGACATTGGTGACTGCTTAGACGATGAAAAATTCTAAAGTGTCTAAGGTTTTTCTTGGGAGATATCCTGTGTTTAATAGCCCTAGTCCCAAAGATCTTACAGCCGTACTCTTTTTCACAGATACTCTTCTTCTTCTGTGTTTGCACAGTGCATCACACAGTGGGTCTATAACCAAAGGTCCTAGGAACTATTGCAAAGCAAATAAATAATAACTATCATGATCTATTTTTAAAAGGCTTTGTACGTCAGGGGAAATGTTTGTATTTACCTTGCAAATATGATACTTGTGAATATGGAATTGTTACAGGAATGAAAATGTAGCTTAATTTAAAAAGTTAACATAAAGCATCACTGTTTGATAACAGAATATAAAATACTTTCTTAACAATAGTGTATTCCATGGTAAATGAAGGTCAGTACAGTGTTTAACTTTCTAATTTTCTAAAAAGTAAGATATTAAAGTCTAAGGATATGTCTATACTGCCACCCTAGTTCGAACTAAGGTGGCTAATGTAGGCATTCGAACTTGCAAATGAAGCCTGGGATTTAAATATCCCGGGCTTCATTTATATGTTCCCGGGCGGGTGCCATATTAAAATGCCCATAGTTTGAACTACCTGCTTGCGGCTACACGCGGCACGGACTAGATAGTTCGAATTAAAGCTGCTAATTCGAACTAGGGTGGCAGTGTATACATACCCTAAGTGAATTGATAAATGTTAGAATGACTTAGTAGCTTCAAGTACCCCTTTGTGAAGTTTACAATCAAAACGAAGAAACTGGTTTGGGTGACCGATTGTTTCGCCCTTGATGTGCTGAATTGAATATAATTCATTTTAAAACTTTAGGCTGATTTTTTTTTTTTTTTAAAAGGTGATCTTTTGATTTTACAGATGCAAATTCTAAGTGGTAATAAGTTTAAAACTCTGCATGCAAAATTACATTCTGTGTTACAGTGACATCAAGAATAATGCATTATAGAGATTTCCATGTTATTTTGCCGTTTAGTATATTACGAACATTATCTTAATAGGATCAATAATAAGACAGATAAATCTCTCAGCTCATGTTGAATTTTATTCTAGCTCTTAAGTGAAGTAGAGTCTACTCAGTAACAGCTCTGAGATTGCCAAATTATCTTAAAATGAGACAATTTTACTGTTTTTTTTCTATCTTCTGAAACTACACAGAGATTCTATCAGCCCAATAAATCTATTAACATGGTTGGACCTCAGACAGTTCCATCAGCTCATTCAAGATGTCCTGTAAAAATAAATGCTAGACTCACCAAATGAAGCTAACAGATAGGTCCCTCTTATCAAATCCATCTTTAATCTTTCTGTTGAAGAGTTTTATTAATTATTATATCCTATGGAAATTAAGACAAACCAAATATAAATTCCTCTAAATAATCACAGATATCCTACATATCCGCAACTTAGGGAAAATTGCCATTAAAGTAGTGGTGGAAGTATACTGAAGGATTGTACCCACTCAACTGCTATTCACCCACGGTAGCCAGATATATGTAAGGGCACCATATGGGCAGGCAGAATAGGCAGGGATGGTGTCCCTAGCTTCTGTTTGCCAGGAGCTGGGAATGGGTGACAAGGGATGGATCATGATAATTGCCTCTTCTGTTTATTCCTCTGAAGCACCTGGCATTGGGCACTGTTGGAAAACAGGATGCTCATATTTAGAGCTGAAATGTATCTGCCCCTTGCTGTAACGCACTAGACCCCACTCTCCTTCCAGAGCTGATGGAGCCTGATGGGGTCAATCTCGGTCTCTCTCGCTCTACAGAGTTACTAACAAAGTAAGAATATACATTAAAATGTTAAGGGTAACCAGTGTCCTTTAAGTGACTTGCCATAAGAGGTCAGAATATGTTAGTGTTAGAGCTGAGTGGGTCTAATAGTTATTTAATTTTCTGTCTTTTATGTAGCAATTAGATGCAGTGCTCCTGTCAGCTAACTGCTAAATTGTCTGCCAAAAAACAGCAGACTTTTCCAGTTCCTTGGCAGCCCCTGGATAGAGATTGTGTGTGTGGGGGGGAAGGGGAGACGATGGGGTTGGTTCCTCCCTCCCCATTTGGTGCTTGGCTTTTACTGAGTATGTTCAGTCTGAAGCCTCTGCCTCAGTTTACATCCCCATACTTTCACTCTCCTCCCCCCATCACAGCTTGCACAGGTTGCCCCCCTCCCCCCCCGCAAAATCTGAAATGGTGCCCCTGGATATATGCCACAAGAGAAGAAATATGTTTGCATTTTAGGGTAGTTTTCATGTTTTGTTTCATAAAGTGGAATATCTCATCTCAAGATTGTTGAAAATCATTCTTACAGAAAGTCATTAAATTTGCTTTCTTCCTGTGATAAAGAATTCAGAAGTATAAATCAGTATTGACCACTCAGTTTGCACATATAATAAATAAATGACTGCATGTTCATTGATGCTGGTTAAGTTCAATAAACATTTGTATTTCACTCTGAGCCAATCAGAAAGCAGATGTTCATCTCTGTTTCTTATTTGGTTCATCAGAAGCAATGTGTATTTCTTTCCATATTACTGCATTCCCATTTAAGGTGATATATCGTTCTTTAGACTGTTACATTTAAGAAGTTTATAGCCTTTGACAGATTTTTTCCAATTTTTCTAATTAAAACAGAATGCATGAAACAATACATCAAAACAATTCAGAAGTAAAAGAAAACAAGTCTGACAAACTCATCCTGATTTTTGGATTCTTGCCACTTTGCTCACCAATCCTTTCTTTATAAATATCAAGCCTTCATAACAAGAGAAATAGGTTTTTATTCTACAACTGTAATTGGTAGTCTCATGAAGTTCAATTTTTGAAAAAAACACATTTGTTTCAACTCCTGTTGTAATATAATATTTCCATATAATAAAATGCTTTAACAGGATGACAAGCACCCTCAACTGAATGTTTCTTACATTCCCTTATTCGCAAAATTAGAAGGTTTATTCAAGGGTGAGCTGTAGGCTATACCAGAGAAAACTTTTGGTGGAATTCAAGTCTCCAGCCTTTATCAAAGCTGCTATCCACACATGTCACGTCTCAATATCTTGCAGCCCATTTTGAGCCATTTTGGCTGACATTTTCAAAGAAAATTCAGCCCCAGATAGGCACTTGGGCTGAAATTTTCAATGTCAAGTGGTTAGAGTTTGGCCAAATTAACTATGAACCTTTACAAAATAATTTATAGTGGAGTTATCAGGTGCCCTTAATAGTAAGCAGTGCTATCACCCCCACACATAATGCAGCTGTCTTCGTTCTTTAGCTATGCCTGCTTACATCTAAGGAGACTCTCCACTGAACTCTTCCCGCACAATTTTCTGGGTCTTAAAGGCATAATAGTCACCCAGGCAGTTCTTAAAGGTCTATAAATTGGGTACATAGAAAATGGTGAACTGAGATTTAAAAATTTAGACCACCCCCAAACCTCAATCCTTATTTCAGTCTGAATTGAACCTGAACTTTCAGGGTTGATTAAGTGACATATTTCCCAGTGATAGGCATCCCTCTCTTCACACTTCACTCCTTGTAATGAAGCTCTTGTGGCCTCTGCCAGAGAATTTTATTCCCGTACCGGCCACCAGCATTTCCTCTGTAAAGACATAATTGGCTGCCAATACCTACCCTAGCACCTCCCTTTCCCAAGTTTTTAGCAGCTTAAGCATATATTTCCCATAGATACTTTGGACCAAGTCTGGACATGTAACTTTGTAAAATTCACTTAATGCTGCATTAAGTTTTGTACTTTTGACAGGAAGGATTAGAATAAATCTACCCCCAATCTAGTTTGCGAGTCAGTGCAGAAGCTTTTTTGTTAAGGAATGCTGTGCATCCCTTTCCTAACACCATCATTAGATCATAATGAAGAGATCTAGTTCCTAAAAGCAGCTAAGATGGCTACAATATTAACATAAGCAAAACAAATATCATGGAGGAGTAGCTCTATAATTTGTTAGGCAAGGGGAAAATAAGACAGACATTTAAAGAAAGCTTAGAGGAAGCATAGTTTAGTGATGTAAGGTACTGGAATGTGACACAAGGTCTGGACCCACATACGTGATGTCAAATGGAATATGGTTTTTCAGTTTTTATTTCCCAGCCTGTTTACTATGTTTGTACATGATGTCAAATGGAATATGGGTTTTCAATTTTTATTTCCCAGCCTGTTTACTATGTTTAACCTTTATTTGCTTGTTATGTAATAAGACTTCTTAGCTTGACAAAAATAATATACTTAAGATACTTTGGGATGGTAGTGATGTCCCCTAATTAGAAGTTGTCCATAAACATTCGATTGATGTTGTGCAGATACAAGTGTATTCTGAAAGTACTGTTAATTAGCTGTGTTATCCATTGCCAATTTTTATGTTATATGCAAATATCTGTTTATTTCTTTTTAATAGAATCAATGGAAAGTGAATTGCCAAAATCAAACATGAGAAAACACTTGTACATATGTAAGGTTGGGGCAGGGAAGAGGCATACTTTTTTTGGCTTGGAATAAATCTGAATATTTTGTAGCCATCAGAGAAGTTGGGGTGCTGTATTTCACTAGAAAAAATAGCAGTCTAAACTTTAATCAGGTTTAAATTATCTTTCAGAACTGTTATCTCTAATAATACTAATCCTTTTATTTTTCCTTTTGGTGTTTGTTCAAGAATCAACTTACAACTCAAAAGAGTTTTCTTTTACACCGTCATACACAGATAAACACATCTTTTCTTATAATTCCCTGATGTAATGTAGCTTTATCATGATGATAATGATCAATAGGACAGAACTGGCTATAGAATGTATTACTTCAAATAATACTTATCTATATTTTCAGAGTGAATTAAAAACCACCATTAGTTACAATAGCTTAGTGTTTTATCATCGTACAATCAAATTTGGAGAAATTATTTTATAGATGTATGTGTGTTGATATAACATTGACTTTGATCAGATTCTATAACTCATATTAATTTCCTGTACCTGTTTTTGCTATTTGCAATCACACCATCGTCAAAATCAACTTTGCGCTCTCTGTCAGTATCAGGTGTTATAATTTGTTTGTCTGTTATTCCCTAAAACATACACTTCCCTCAGTTGTATCACAAAAAAATCATCTCTTGAGCTTTTATATATAACAGCTTTGAGGGAGTCTAAATTTTTTTCATGAAACAGTTTTCTGTTGGACAGTGCAATTTAGTCCAAATTAAAACATTTTGCAGCAACATGTACATTTAGATGACATTTTGATAGGAAAAAGTGAAAATGAATTGTTTAACTTTCTCATTTTGCTTGTGTTGCACTGCTTCATCCAGTAATATTAACCTGTCTCATTTTAACTTAAATGTTTAATTAAAATATTACATTTAATATTATACTAATTCTATGTGATTGCAACAGTGTTTCCTGATTTTTTTTTTAAATTACAATGCTAACATTTTTTCTCAAATTGTGATGAATTTGGCCATCCAATCAGGTCAGTCTTTGGTGCACCTTAGTTACGTTGGTAGATAATTCAAACCTTGCTGCAGATGACTTGAGTGATAGTGGAACACACTGAATTTTTTTATTGACTGGTTCATGTGCAAAGTTCAGTCCAGTCACTACTAGATCTGTCTAAATGAGAAAAGTTAACTGATCTACTGACCCTTCTGTGAATAAAATCACTGTGATTGATGAGTCACGGTGATTGGGAAGTCAGGTTATTCATAACTCCTGTATTTGGAGAAACCACACATGGACATGTAGTTCAAAGTCCATCCTTGGGTGAGGGCAGAAGGAAAGAGCGTAGGTGCTCCTCAATACAGTCAATTGAGAAGGTACCTAATTCTGTCGTCTTTCTTACTGGACTCTGATTCAATAAGCACCAAAACTGTCCTGGGTGCTCCTCAATACGGTCAATTGAGAAGTTACCTAATTCTGTCGTCTTTCCTACTGGACCCTGATTCAATAAGCACCAAAACTGTCCTCAAAGTTGCAGGAACTGTATATTTCATCCAGATATTCCACTTCTTCCCATGTAGGCAGTGCTGTGATCAAGAGAGAAGCTTTAATTTGAACTTCCTGGTTTTTGACCGGCTCATTATGATACCCTGCATGAAAGACACTATATAAAAATAAATTTTATATTATTACTCTTCATGTGGGAAACATATGCAGAAAGCCTTTTCCTTTGATCTGTTAGTCTCTGAATAATGAATCATTTTTGGTTTCCTTTGAAGATAAAAGGAAACACAATGCACTTATAACTGACAATTAAAGTTGACACGCAGAAGAGTTTCAGGAGATCTGAACCACCCCAGTTGCTCCTGTTTCCACAGAAATTACTGTGTGTGTTGTTCATTTCACTTGGCTTCATTTCTCCCTTTTAGGCTAATCACACATTTAGTTTTGTGGAGCAGCTGAAGATTTATTCTGAGGCATGGCTGAGGATGTCTGAGGTATTTAAGAAGAGTGAAAACTTCTCCAAGATGAATCAGCTCCAGGTTGGTGAACTGTGGGTGACCAATACTAACCACAGAGACAAATATCTGAAGAGTTAAAGCAGTAATGAAGTAGTAATTCTAGAAATATTAGCTCACTGTAGGAAAAGGAGTTCTGGATCAGCCTTTTCAAAAGTCCTCGCTTTGAGGTAGAGCAATTACCAGAAATGCTATAGGTTATTGGTACAGGCAGCACAGACATGGGAGTTTTTTATCTTTTGAGTGGCACTTGAAGACA